TTTATGCCATAATTGTAGAAAATTTCCCATAGAGAAACTGTCTATTTATGCATTGAACAACAAACAAAAAAACCTTAAAAAACAAAATTGGGAGTGGGGTGGGGGAATCTTGGTTAGAATTAGCCCATCAAATAGGTTAATCAGTTGCAATCTTATAATAAAGTCTTAAACTCTATAAAAACTCCTAATTGGCCCAGAGACCCAGGGTGTACACTCCTAAGGAAATCAGAGATTGAAATAAAGGTCTGATGTAGACTAGAACATTCACAGCAACACTTGTAATGGTACCAAAGAACTAGAAACAAAGTGTCTTTGTAGAATGGCTGAATAAACTGTGGTATATGAGTGTAGTAGAATATTTCTGTGCTGTAAGAAATGACAGACATACAAAATTTAGAGAAGCATGGAAGATCTGTATGAAGTGAAGACAAGATAAATGAAAGTATAACTAAAAGGACACAACCAAGCAACCAGTAATGGTTCTGGAGAACAAATAAAGATTCCTTCTTCCCTCTCACTTCTGGTAGACATAAAATACAATTGGGGTATAATTTGTGTATACATCATCAAAAAACATTACTAAGTGATTTTCCTTAATTATTTTCTTTGGTACAAAGGAAGATTCAGTTTTGGTGGTTGTAGGAAAAGAGGTGTGTACATTAGAAATGACTGGTACAAAAACAAAAGCATCAGTTTTTAAAGACTGCTAAGAAAAGTAGTGCTTGTAACCTGATATAATGGTTAGGGTCAGGGAAAGTAGGAGCCCAGTAATATCTACACATTTTACTCTCTTCCTTTGCTTCATTTCTTGTTGAAAATCTTTATTTTTTGCTTCACTGGTTTAAATATGACTTTGTGTTTTGTTAGTACTTTAAAAATATATTTGTTCATTTTGTGTACAGCGTGCATATGCATATATATCGGCAAACTAGGCAAACAATTCTTGTTGGATTGAGTTTCCCTGAGTAGCTAACTTAGACCCTTTGACCAGTTCCCCTGCCCTCCCCCGCCCTCCAGGAAGATCACAACCTATCTATGTGTGCCCTGTCTAGACAGTTCTTGTCCATGTCCTTCTCCAGATCTGCTTCAGTGCTACCTACCTAAGCCTTCCTTGAGTTCTCTTGACATTAGTAGGGTACTAATGAAGTGCAAAGGCAGATCTTGATGTAGTCATAAAGATATGTCCAGTCCATCTTTATTTTTTCTGGTCATATATTTCTATGATGTATTTCTAGAAGATGGGATTTTAGTTGAGACTTGAAGGAAGCCAGAGATGTCAGGAGGCAGAAATATGGTTCCAGGTATGTGGAACTGTCAGTCAAGATGTCTGGAGTTAGGAGATGGAGTGTTTTTGTGGGAGCAAGGAGGCTCCAGTGTCACTAGATCAAAGATTACATGGAAAGGAGTAAAGCCTGGAAAAGTAAGAGGGTTCTAGTTTGTTAAGGACTCTGAATGCCCAAAAAAAAAAAATCTTTTTAAGGATTTTATATTTGATTCTGGAGGTAATAGGGAACCTCTAGAGTTTACTGAATAGAGTGATGACATGGTCGGACCTATGCTTTAGGAAAATCATTTTGACAGTTGAATAGAGGATGTACTGAAGTGGGGAGATTTGAGGCAAAGAAACCATCAGGTTAATACTGTAGTCCAATAGTGAGGTGACAAGGGGTAGTGGGAGGGTTAGAGGAGAGAATCGATATCATGGAGGTAACATCATCAGGACTTGACCGCTGATTGGATATGGATATGTTGAGGGGTGAGAGAGTTAAAAAGTCCAGGATGACACCTAGGTCGCTAACCTGGGTGACTGAGAGGATTGTTATTGTCAGTAATTGGAAAGTTTGGAAGGACAAAAGGTTTGGGAGTAAAGATAATAAGTTCAGTTTTGGGTATATTGAGTTTAAAATTTCTAAAGGATATCTAGTTTGAAATATCTAATAGACAGTTGAAGATGTGAATCTACAGTTCAGCAGAGGTTAGGTCTGAATAAGTAGATCTGAGAGACATTAGCATAGAGATAGTAAGGAAATCATGGGAGCTGATGATATCATGAAATAAATAGAATAGGAGAAAAGAGGACCCAGGATAGAGCTCCTGGGGACACCTGCCTTTACTGAGTGTAACCTGGAAGAAAATCTAACAAAGAAGACTGAGAAGGAGCAGGGAGGCAGGTGGTAGGAGAATCAAGATAGACTGGTACCATGGAAACCTAGAGAGAAGAGGGATCCAGAAGAGGGTGATTGGTGAGGAATAGTGTCAGATATTACAGAAAGGCCAAGAAGGATGAAGTTTGAGAAAAGGGCTTTGAGCAAATTTAAACAAGCCTGAGGTACCAACTCATGCCCATCATATTGGTTAAGATAACAAAAATGGAATATGACATATTGAAGGGAATGTGTGAAAATAGATACACTGATGCACCGTTGATGGAACTGGGAACTAGCAGAACCATTCTGGAAAGTAATTTGAACAAATTACATCCCAAAAAGTTACTAAACTTGACCTAGTAATACCATTACTAGGTCTGTGCTCCTCAAGAGATCAGGTAAGAAGCAGCTCTCTTTGTGGTAGCAAAGAATTGGAAACTGAGAGGGATGAGCAGCAGTTGGGGAATGGCGGAACAAGTTGTGGTATATGAATCGGATGGAATACTGTTGTGCAGTAAGAGGATGAGCAGGATGGTTTCAGAAAAGCCTGGGAAGACTTCTATGAATTAATATGAACTAAAGTGAGCAGAACCAGAACAATTTATCCAATAATAGCAATATTGTGAAAATAATCAATTCTAAAATACTTAGTAACTCTGACCCAAACACAGTGTTCCAAAGGATTCATAATGGAACATGCTTTCCACCTCCAGATAGAAAGGGGAAGGACTCAGTGCAAATTGAAACATATTTTCTTCCTTCCCTTCCTTCTTTCCCTTCTTTCTTTGACAAAGCTAATGTGAGAATTTGTCTTGCATGATTATGAATATTTGTAATGGGTTTTGTTTATCTTGCCTTTGCAGTAGATGGGGGAAGGGAAAGAATTTGGAACTTAAAATAGTTTAATTTTTTTAAATGGGCATTAGATTTGGTAGTTATGATATTTGGAAAGAGCAGTTTCATGAGATTGGAAGTTAAACTATAAAGTTACAAGAGTGAGAGGAAAGGAAGTGGAGGTACCTATTGTAGATGGCCTCAAGGCATTTAGCAATCTCTGTTACAAGGGATGGCTCATGGGAAGGACATATTTAGAAATGAAAGTGATTTAAAAACAAAAGATCAAAAAAGATTTCTTTTTAAAATAAAGTATCTGAAGTGGTAAAGCTTAGCAATCCAAGGCTGGTGAGAAAGGAAAGCTAAGAAAATAAAGTAGAGGTATTTTGTTTTGGGGGCTTTAAAATAGCAATACTTTGGAAAAGAGAAGCTCAAAGAAAGGACAGAACCATTGCTAGGAGGCTAGAAGGAATAATGATAATGTATGATTGGGGGTGGGGTCAGAGTTATCCTATTTTGTTTTTTCTCCTCTAACAAGGAGAATGATCTTTGAACTGGAAAGGACAGAACTAATAAATAGGGAATTGATATAATAATATATTATATTGATATTTGGGAATTGATAAAATAATAGGGAATTGATAACCAAGACAATGAAGGAGATTTTAAGTGAGTACCTTACTGCCTTTTTAGGTGAATTTAAATAGGGTGTCCCAAAAGTCTTACTGCTATCTTAAGCTACCAAACTTTAAGAGCATTTTTTAAGTACTTACTCCGTTCTGGGGATGTAAAGAAAAGGCAAAACCAGTTTTAGGTACTTAGATTTTAAATGTGAAGAAAACATGTATCTTATAGATGTAGGTGAGATGCATGTAAAGTAAATAGAAGGTAACCTTAGAGGAGAAGGCTCTAGTAGTTGGGGGAACCTAGAAAGGCCTGAAAGTGGTATTTAAATTGAGATTTGAAGGAAGCCTGGGATTCTAAGAAGTGGAGGTAGGGCGAGAGAATATTCCAGGCATGGGGGACAGCCAGTGCAAAGACACTGGAATGAATGGAACAGAGTAGTGTGTAAGAAGATTGGAGAAATAGATAGGGATAAGATTGTAAAGGCCTTAAACGCCAAGCAGTTGATATTTGATAATAGGAAACCATGAGAGTTTGGGCAGGGAGAATGATGTGATCAGACTTGTGTTAGAAAATCAACTTGATAATTGTATGGATTATCTTCAGTTCTGGGCATCAAATTTTCAAAAAGAAAATGATCATTGAGAGAGTGTTCAGAGGAGGGTAGCCAAGATGGCAGAAGCCTTCCTACCAAATGAGAATCAGTTAGCTGTACGTGATAATTATCTTCAAATGTTTGAAGAGTTGTCACAGTGGAGATGGGTTAGACTTGGTCTCTTTGGCCCCCAAGCATGGCAAGAAATGATAAGAAGCTAATATCAGCCTGACCTAAGGAAAAAATGGTCTAACATTTGGAGCTGCCCAGAAGTGTTTCAAGAGGGAAGGATTGGCTTCTCCTTGTGGCAAGTTTTTAAGCAAAGATTAGATGTCTGCTTAGCTGGTTTGTTGTGAATGTCCTACTCTGAAATCTTATCTGATTTTCAATAAGCAAGCCAATGCTTGGGTCTTTCAAACCCAAACCAGGCCGAACATGGAATTTAGGAGATCAGTGAAACTGGGGCTCTAAAAGGTAAAGGTTGTTAAGAATGTGGTGAAATGATAGTCATATTTGCCTCCAGTGGGTGTTTTGAAAAGTGAAGAGATTTGTCTGCAGATGTTAAAAGGTGGTTTTTGACAAGCTTCCTGAAGCATTTGTGAGATTGGGGATGGATGGGTGGGAGCTCTGATGAGCTTGTCTTACTCCCCATCTGACTTTGAATCACAAGATAATAATTAAAACTGGCATTTACACATTGACACTTATTTTACTGTCATAATTACTTAAAAAGAAGTAATGGATATATCTGACACCTATGATTTATCAACTTCTGAATTAATTTTGTTGTTCCTCTTTAGGCCATTTAATTTGTCAGAGCGAAAAGCAAATGCCCATTCTGTGGTGGATTGTGATTCTTTTAGAAAAGAAATCAGTGTGCGTACTGGAGGAATGACTGACAAGTCTACAAGAAAAACTTATACTTTTGATATGGTATTTATTTTTATTTTTATATAATGCTTTTTCTTAGATATAGTAATCAAAATTTTCACTAGTGTACAAGTCTCACTCTTGGTAATATAGTCAGTTAATTGATTAGCTCTATTAAACTTTTAGAGAATTAATTGATCCCCTATTATCTAGAAGAATTTGTGTAACTCCCCAAATTCCTAGCTATAAGAGTGATTTGCCATTGGAGTAATTAAATTGATATTGTATTGTTATTATTTGAGGTTGCTACTAATAATATAAAGTACAATTAAGTAGGTTCTTGTCTCTTCTGGATTTTTTTGTTCTAGGTTTTTGGAGCATCCACAAAACAAATTGATGTTTACCGAAGTGTTGTATGTCCAATTTTAGATGAAGTTATCATGGGATACAATTGCACTGTTTTTGCGTAAGTAGAGTATTTATCTGGGTCTCACAAAATAATTAAAATAAATATTTAAATACTTTAAGTATACTTAATGTTTATGTTGACAGATATGGCCAAACTGGCACTGGAAAGACTTTTACAATGGAAGGAGAAAGGTCACCCAATGAAGAATATACCTGGGAAGAGGTACTGATCATTCATATATCAACATTTTAAAAATGTTTACCTCTAATGTTCAGCTGAGCTGTGACTAAGCTAGTAAGGGCTTTAATACAGAGATATGGTCTTGTCATGGGTGCTTAACTCCTATAATAGTACCAGATAACATACTAATAGTATAGTATAATAGAACCAAATTCCTGAACGTTCCAAGAAATAAGCCAGAGAAGTTATATGTGCTCACAGTTTCCAGCTCGTTAGAGACTTTCCCAGTGTCTTTGACAGGGGCATCCATGACTGCAGTAGCCACTCTTTTCTAGTAGTGCTTGGGGAGTATGCCCTTTGTTTCTGAGTTTCTGCTTTTAGTTGCCTTTCTCCCCTGCTTGCCACTCTCTTTCAGTGACTTATGTGTCATCTCTTAATTCCTAAAGTTCCCTATCCCTTTTTTCATCCCTGGTTGTGGAAATTTGCTCCTGTGCTCTTTGTTTCTCAACGCAGTGCCTGTGCTGTCTAGACCCCAGTCCTGTGGGTGGATGGGGTGGTTTTTGGGAGTAAGGAATAGAAGCCTCAATCTCTTCCTTGGACTGAGCTTTTTATTCTTCTTAGTACCTCTCCCAGTTTTAGGATTAGGATCTGGATTTCCGATTTGTTCCTCCCACTAGATCCTGGGTCGCAGTGACATAGGCTATGCTGAAACCCAGGTCTTCCTGACTCCCAGGCCAATCTACACCATTCATTGGAGCATTCTATATCTATTTTAAATGTTTTTATGAGTTAAAATATTAAATACACAATATTTCAGTTATGATAAGTCAGCTTTTGTGCCCTGGCTTAAGGATCTAGTCACCATTTAAAACATTATTCCTATTGGTAAATGCATTCTGGTTTCCAAATACACAAAATTTAGGATGAAAGGAAACTTAATAACTACTGCTGGACTTCTGATACCGTCAACCATCAACCTGCTGCTGCACAGCTTTATATCTCAAAGTGAACAGAGCAGAAAATGGTGATCAAAATCCTTAAACTCTACTTTTTAGGAGCAGTTCCTAGAGCTACAGTTAAGTTAGCATTGTCTGACAGTAAGCTGACCGATTTAATAAATTTGGTTATCTCTTTTCTGGTTACCTTTAATTTCTTAGCTGCTAGAGGGGGGAAGGATCTAGAAATTGACAAGTGGCAACTACAAATTAAAGAGTCAGCAAAATCAACACGCTAGAAGTGCCGGGGCTGCCCCTGCTTTTCCTATACATTTAGGATGTGTAAGTTCAAGGACTACGATGAAATGAAGAACGATCACTGTATTTCTGCTGAGTGTGACGTGTCATTAATAGGTTTCATTACTTTTCAATATGTTTTCTTTGGTAAAGTTGCAGTATATATTTTTAAAAGATTTGCATTAAAAATGATCTAAATAAAAAGATAGATTTGGGCACTTAAAAGTCTCAGTCATTTAAAAAGTTCACTTGATTGACTGACCATCTGTTCACCTCAATACTGCCAGTTATATAAAAGTTACTGTATGATTTCACAAGCAGACAACTTGTCAGAAGGAGGTGTGGGCCAAAAATATAGCATCAAAATTGTAGGTAAATTTGTATGTGTTGAATGATCTAAAGAAAACTAGGATTTTGGGAGTGCACATGTAGCATTTGTCATAAGCTTTTGAGGCAAAACATCCCTTGGGACCACCGGGAAACACAAAGCTAAGCTTTGTAGGCAGTTGGTCAGATTAACATCTGTATAAGTGAACTTGATTTCTCAGATTTGGGCTTGTAACTGGTTAATAAGTGTGAATGGAATAGGATAGCCTACTGAATTTGCCTTGGGGATAACTCCAGTGTGGTCTCATAATTTGTAAGATTCCTAAGTTATCTAAGAGTTAGAAACCCAGGAATTCTGGATTCAGTATCTCTTGAAAGATTGTAGAAGAGAAGAGATTTTGACAACTACTAAATCAAAGCACTTCCACTTCTCAAAAAATGAGGGTCAGCTTGTTGTACTAGATAGAGCGGTGGTTTTGGAAGCCTAGAACTACCTTTAAGTCCTGCCTTTGACATATACTGACTCTGTGACTCCCTGGCACATCTCAGTGCACCCAATAGACTCTCTAAGACAGTAAGTTGCAAAGAAGGTTTCAGTCTGCATAGGTAGAGGGAATTCCTCCTCAGAGTCCTCTGCTAATGAAATCCCAGGTCCAGCCTCATCTTACCCATTGCCTCAAATATAATTAGTACAGAATTAGAGTATAAGGAGGGTATTATGTATAAATGCACTGCTTTTGAGGCTTAGAAAAGCTTTAATAACTTTTTTAAATTAGTGTTTTATTTTGGGAGGCACTTCAGGTCAATAAAGTTCATCTTAAATTAATGTCATTCTCCATTTCCTAGGAATCTACCCTTTTTTAATTAGCCATGGCTTCTTAGCTTTTTCTAGGCTTAAGGAGAGTGTATATCAGAAAAGTATCCCTTCAATTAAAGGGAGAAGCAGGAGATTAGATTGTTTTTCACTTAAGAGAAGGTGTAAGGAGTTAGTCTCTTTGAAGGCAGGGACTGTTGGGTTTTGACTTGATCTCCCAAGCGCGCAGGACAGCAAATTATACATTATAGACACGTGTTATTTGTTGTATTGACTAGATGACCTCTCTAGAACTTGTTTAGTGACCCAATATTAGCCTTACCTGGGGAAATGGGAAGTACTAATTGTAAATACCTTAGTTTCTCTCTAAAGTGAGGCAGTAAATGACATTGTGATATTCTTTACTTCAGAAGTAGCATAGTATACAAGAAAAAGCATTGAACTTGGGGCCACAAAGATGAGTCTAAATAAAGCCTTTGATGCTAGTTATGTCCTTTAACCTCTCTGGACCTTAGTTTCCTCACATGTAAAACAGACATAAAAGAACTTGTCCATATTTCATAGAGTTGTGAGGAGTATGTGAAAATTTTAAGTGCTTTGTAAACTTGAAAACACTACTTGAATGTTAACTATTATTATTACTTTGACTTTACCATTGACCATTAGGCTAATTCACCCAATATTATAATTTCAGGATCCTTTAGCTGGCATAATTCCACGTACGCTCCATCAGATATTTGAGAAACTTACTGACAATGGGACAGAATTCTCAGTAAAAGTGTCATTGCTAGAAATCTATAATGAAGAACTCTTTGATCTACTTAATCCATCTAGTGATGCTTCTGAGAGACTACAAATGTTTGATGATCCTCGTAACAAGGTAACCTTTTGTTTTCAGACAGAGACTGCTCTAAAACTTCCTCTGATTGTTCGATTAATTTGTTATATTTACTTTTTTGATCTTTGCTTTTCATGTTTGGTCAGAGAGGAGTAATCATCAAGGGTCTGGAAGAAGTCACAGTGCACAACAAGGATGAAGTCTATCAAATTTTGGAGAGGGGGGCAGCAAAAAGGACAACGGCAGCAACCTTAATGAATGCATATTCTAGGTAAGAATTCCCTTGTTAAGGACGATTAGAAACATAGCATAGTTAGGGGGACAAGCATTTATTAAGCACTTACTGTGTACTAGGCACTGTACTGAGCTCTATACAAGAAAAAGCAGAAATAGATTCCCTGCCTTAAGAAGCTCATTCTAACGAGGCAGATGACATGCAAACCACCGTGTATGTAGATGTATATGGGGTAAATGGAAGATAATCTCAGAGGGAAGGCATCAGTTGAGAGTAGGGGATTGCCAAGAAAAGCTTTGTGCAGCAGGCAGAATTTGAGCTGCATCTTGGAAGAAGCCAGGGAAGCCACGGAGCGGAGATGAAGAGTGAGTTGCTTACTGCCCTGGTGTTAACCCTACCTCTCTGGGGTGTGTGCCAAAACTCCAGCTTTGTGATTCACCTACTTACCAAAAAAAAAAAATCGTTGATCATCATCCACAAATACAAACGCTCCAGAATGCAGACACTTCAATATAAAAAATAGGATTGTGTGTAAAATTGAACTTATGTTACGTAGTTTATTTTGAAAAATGTCAGTATTTAACAAAACAGTAACAAAAGTGCTCAGTTTGTGTCCCCTTTCTGAACTTGTTTGTTCTGTGTGTATTTTTAATATTTTATTGATCTTTTCCCTTTTTTTTTTGCATTTCTTTCACTATCTTCTACTCCTCCATCCCAATAGAAGCCTTCTCTTGTATTATAACAATAGCCAAGCAAAAATATGAACACATTGCCATGTCTAAAAATGTATATCCTCAGTTTTCTCCTCACTCCCCTGGTACTGCCCCCCACCCCCCTCACTTTGCCAGTTCCCCAAGCTCCCTGTTATTGGGAGGTCATTGAGTCCCAAGTTGTTTTTCAAAGGCTGGTTGTGTCTACTGTCCTAGCTGCGCTGCCATCTTGTGGTCTTCCTCTGAATTGCAACTGTCATTAGGGAAAGGTTTCAGCCATTTTTCAGTCTGGCCTACTCTGTGTGTGACTCAATCAGAAACAAGTCTTGAACTCCTTTGTGCTTCAGTCTCCTGATCTACGTATTCAGTGGACTATTTTAGATTGTCTGGGTAAAATAGCTCAAGGGAAGAAGGAAGAGGCAGAGTTGAGCTAATTAATGTTGGTTCTGCCTTCCCGCTAGCATGAACATCATTGCTTCTCTCTGAATGAAATTTGATGAACTTAGTGGACATATTGATCTGGGGGAAATAAGGTTAAATCTAGGCATCCTTTCTATGTCTGATGTCTAATCTAGAGACTAAAGTCTTGAATAGTTCCCAAGCATCTTAACCTTTTCGATACAATTCTGCTAAATTTAAATAGTTATCAGTGCGAATTGAAATTCTGATTAGTTAGAGTTCTGAAAGAACTAGTAGTCAAGTTGGGGGCTGAAGAGCAAGATTAAAAATATGCTTTTGCAATTAAGAGTGGCTAGAAAATTGTCACTGAATAATGCTTTCCCATTTCTGTGACACAACTTCCAGATTAAGATTAATGTAGTTCATACAGTCTAGGTTTATGTTTTCATAATTCAAATCATAATTACCTTCCCATCTTGTAAACATTTTAATTAACAGTGTCATAATGCTTTATTTTTTAGCCGATCCCACTCTGTATTTGCTGTTACGATACATATGAAAGAAACTACAGTTGATGGAGAAGAACTTGTTAAAATTGGAAAGCTGAATTTGGTAAGTATTTCCTTTTGAACCAGGATGCTTTGCCTCATGTTGGTAATGAGCTATTAACTGTTAAGTATTAAACACCCAGCTAACAATTTTAATATGAAGTCTGAAAGCTTTGAGTTAAAACTTCATAGATTATCTGATTGAAATCATTATGATTTTTTATCCTTTTCAGGTGGATCTTGCAGGAAGTGAAAATATTGGTCGTTCTGGGGCCGTTGACAGAAGAGCACGGGAAGCTGGAAATATTAATCAATCTCTTTTAACCCTGGGAAGGGTTATAACTGCCCTTGTTGAAAGAGCACCACATATTCCTTATCGAGAGTCCAAACTAACTAGGATCCTACAAGATTCTCTTGGGGGACGTACAAAAACATCTATAATTGCCACAGTTTCCCCTGCATCAGTCAATCTAGAGGTAAAAACAAACAAACAACACTTTGAACGACTTGTGAAAATATGGTATCTATATTTTTTTTCAAATTATGGAAAAATATTGCTCCCCAAATAACTAGCCCATTTATTTTCACCTACCTATAAGAAAATTGGGTATTACCTAGGCCTAAAGTAGCATCCCACTACTACTTGGATGGCTTGTATTTGCATATATATGTGCAAAAGGAGAATGTATAGATTTTATAAATGATCCTATAAAATGTAACCTCTTTGAGAATAAAAATTGTTTCACTTTTTGTATTTTTATCTCCAGCACCTGGTACCTAGTGGTACTTAGTTATTAATCTAATTGTTGATTGATCTTAATCCAGTATCTTTATGTAACCCATGAGAAAACTCAGGTTCAAAGAGGTTTTAATGACTCACTCAAGGACACATAGTGGCAGTGGCAGGTCTTCAGACTTCTAGCCACTGTTTTTTTTTTTTTTTTAAACAAGCTTGTATTGTTTTTAATCAGTGAATGGGATAAAGGTATAGCCTGTATCCTTATCAAAGTCACACAGGACACAAAACTAGTTTGTTTACGGAATTCAGCAGGTGGCCGAGCTGTGATTAAGAAAATCCATTCCATAGTGCTAAGATGGGAGAGGCACAATTGACAGCAATTTTTCGATAACAGATCTGGGGGTTTGAGGCCATGGTTTGGGAAGGCGGGCTAAACAGCCAATGTGGTCTTGTGCTTCATTAGGACAGACAGTTTTCAAGAAAGATATGGTCGCTGGAATCTTGGACTCCTTCACCCAACAGCACCATCACCTGTAAGATCAAGAGACTGGAATAGATGGATCTAAGTCTCAGTGTTCTAACTCTAAGTAATTTAGTAGTTTATTCCTGTCTGAATGAAAGTATTCCCACATTCATTCCATCCAAAGTATTCCTCTGTAGATAAATAAAGGACATCTTGTGCCTGACATATGTTTCATTATGAGAATTTCTCTCCAGTTTTAATTCTTTTACATACAGAAGTATACCCTCTTTCTCAAGGCTTTTCCATATTCATGTCATTTATAGGACTTTCTCCAGTATGAATTTTCTGATGCACACTAAAGTGTTTCCTCTGCTTTACATTCATTCAATTTATAGGATTTCTCTCCAGTATGAATTTTCTGATGTATGTTAAGGTCTCCCTTCTCAGCCACTGCTCTTTACAACATGCCTTGTTACCTCAAATGTAGGAGAATTTTCTTAGCCTCAAACTACCAACCACTTTTCTGCTGTTTCCACTTAAAGTATGTGTGGGGGTAATTGTTTTGGTCATAATTAACAATGAGTTAAATGGGAGTGGGGGTTAAGAATATGCGAGTGTATTACCGTATGGCTTTGGGTGTTGCTGAGCCCCAAAGAAAAACATCTGGTTATAGGAAAAAGAGAAGCAAAGGAGGGTTTACACCTTTGTTGTCACCATTTTTTTTTTTTGGAGGACAAAATAAGACCTATAGAATATTTCCAAATCATCTCTTCTTGGAAAACAAGAAATAAGTCCATTCTGTAGGTTTTATTGTTCAGTCATTTTTCAGTTGTGTCTGACTCTTTGTGTGACCCCTTTGTGTTTTCTTGGCAAAGATACTGGAGTTGTTTGCCATTTCCTTCTCCAACTCTTTTTACAGATGAGGAAATTGAGACAAACAGGATTAAGTGACTTGCCCAGGGTCACACAGTAAGTGTCTGAGCCAGATTTGATCTCTGGAATATGAGTCTTCCTCACTTCAGGCCCAGCATGGAATTTGCTCATGTTGGGTATGATACAATTTTTAAATGGATTTCCCTGTATCATGTGAGCCTTTTTATGCCCATCACCAAAAGATTTTTGGGCGCCATATAAAAGTAGCAAATAGTTAGAGTCCATTGTTTTCTAAGACTTTTTGAATTAAAGGTTATATCAATGTCAGTTGAATTAGAACATCCAGGACTCTGAGAATTGAAAGTAGGGGAGAGTAAACAAATATTCAAATGCTACAGTGCAGTGCTCTGTGTCTCTTTTGTCCCCTTTCTGCTTCGAAATAGTGCCCCAGGGAACTGGGTTTATATTAACAGTCTCCTTGTAAGTTATATGTGAGTATAAGCTATGGTATGTGTCATGTAATGATTGGTAGTAAAGCATGATACTGTATAAATAATAATAGTGAATTCATTTGTTTTTTGCCCGACAGGAAACATTGAGTACTTTGGAATACGCTCATAGAGCAAAGAATATAATGAATAAGCCTGAGGTCAACCAGAAGCTCACCAAAAGAGCTCTCATTAAGGTAATAGTGATTTCTCAGCTAAATAGTGGTCTTTAGTTGAAGAAGGTATTTGAAAATAGACACATTATTGTTCCTTAAGTTTTTTGACTATAATATGATAATGTCTTTAACCCCAAGTTGACATCATTAAATAACCTGTATGAGTTTATTTTCTAAATAATCATCTTTCATTTCTATATGTCATCATTGTTTCTTTTTAAAAATCTTTTTCAATGAACAAAAATGTAATTTTTTTCTTTTCTACCTCCCCAACTCCATTGAAAAGAAAAAAGAAAATTCTTGTAACAAATATGCATAATCAAGCAAAACAAACTTTTATATTAGTCATGTCCAGTATGTCTCATTTCACACTCTGAGTTCATTATCTCCTAGGAGATGGGCATAGTGCTTTATCATCAAGTCCTCTAGAAATCATGGTTTGCTGTTACATTGACCAGAGTTCCTAAGTCTTGGAAAGTAGTTTGTCTTTACACTATTGTTATTGTATAAATTGTTTTCCGTGTTCTTTTCACTTCATCTACATTAGTTCATACGAGTCTTGCCATGTTTCTCTGAAACTGTGGCATACATTATTTCTTATGGTGCAGTATTCCATTACATTCACATACCATAGTTTGTCCAACCATTCACCAGTTGGTAGGTACCCTGTAAGTTTCTAGTTCAATGCTATCACAAAAAGAGCTTCAGCATTATTTCTGAAGACCTAATAATAACCAATTTGCTAGTCTTAATGTAAACTACGTAAAATAAACATATAAAAAATCCTTTTTACTGAATGCCATTACAGGATAATCAACTTATTTCCCTAAGTTTATACTTATTTTGTTGATTTGACAAGTTGTTTCAACAGTTGATGATGCTCTGTTATCATAATACCTTATACTTATATAGCACTTTAGAGTTAGCAAAGTACTTTTACATTTATCATCTTATTTGTTCTCATGTACACTTTACACTTACTTTGATAGAATTGCAGAACTTTGAGTTTGGAAGAGACCTTTACAGATATATCTAACCCCAACTCATAGTTGAAGATTCCTATAGCACTCCTTTGAAAATTTATCTTATTTTTATTGATAGTTTTTGTTTTTATGTCACATTCATCTTCAGTTGTATCCCTCCCTCTTTTCTATTCAGCAAGCCATCCCTTGTAATGAAGATTTTTAAAAGAAAGGGGGAAGGGGTGGAAGGAGGAAGCTTTGGAACAAAATGCACCAACAGACCTCCATCCACCATGTCTGACAGTACGCATCATCATCCATCTCCATGGTTCTCTGCCTCTGCCATGAAGACAGAGAGGTTCTTCTTCTCAATTCTCCTCTCATGCCTAAATTAAGGACCTATTCCCAGATTACCCCTGATTTTAGACTGAGTCCAATTGAAGTAGAAGTAGTGGTTCTTTAGCTGGTCAAGCTATACAGTTCCAAGCTATTATTCTGGCTGAGGTTTTTTCTGTGCATCTAGCAGTGGGCATTTCACTCAAGGATAGCAAGTAGGCTTAGGAGAAAGCAGCTTCCAGCTTTGTGGCTCCTTAACCCTCCTTTATTTCTTTCTAATACAGATAGGAGGCAGTGTTAAATGGACCCAGTATCTCTATCAGCATCTTCCTCCATACCTCATAATATTCCTGTTCCAAATATATGTGTATACTCAGTACACACATATTCCTTATCTTATGAGAATAAAGCAATAAAAGTTTTTTTCCTCAACTCATCTAGGATTTATTGAGTCCTCATTTGAATCACGTAGACCAGAATTTATAAATTAATTAGGGTCTTTATAGCAGCTCTAAAATTGAACATTTGTATTCTAGTAGTGTGGTTTGTTGGGGACTTTTCAGAATACCAAAGCTCCCATAATAAGGTTTTCTAAGCCAAGGCCTTTTGTTTTCTGATCTGTCATCCAGAGATCTGGGTTTGGATCTCATACTGCACACGATGTTTCATGTGTATGGGCTTTTAAGATTTGATAATAACTACACATTTACTTTCACTTAGACTATGAAATGAATTAATAAATTATCTGATAATTAAGTCATCAACAAATACAATATCTGAAGGAAAACAGTTTGGAGATTTACAACTAAAGAGATTTCAAATGATGTAATAATGGAGTTCACTGTATATTATGCTGTATACAGATAAGAGCCTGATAAATTTTTCAGGAAGATGAAAAACACTCATACATTTAATTTGCTAGAATTTTATGGAAGGTAATTTCGAAAGCTGTTGTTGGTCTGTATTTTTTTTTCTTGAATTCTACTTTTTTGAGATTGTATGCTTTACTGTTTGAATAATGTGATGACAATGAACAACAGAGTTGTAGATAATGATTTTTCTTTATCTGATCTTTGTAGTAACTCATGCCGTGCATTTTGAAAAGATGAACACAAAATAGATAATAAATTGATGGCTAAAAACATTTTTATTGCAGGAGTATACAGAAGAGATAGAGCGATTGAAACGAGATCTAGCTGCAGCCCGAGAGAAAAACGGAGTCTACATTTCTGATGAAAACTATAAGTGAGTCCTCATCTTCAAAACTGATGAAACCGGAACTATGATACACTTAGATATAACATTTTCTTGTATTTTCAACTACAAGACAGCTTAAATTAGCTGTCTTACTACTTTAATGTAGTAAAGGGATTATTACATTTGTTTTGCTTGAGCCCAGGTTATGTAACTAGTAGCAAAGGGTGGACATTTCCAGAAAAACTTATTTCTGTTTGATAAATGGAAAAAAACTCACTAACAGAGCTTTCCAAAAATAAATGGGCTGCTTTCAGGTGATGAGTTCCCCAATCCTAGAGGGCTTCATTCAGTATGTCTCAGGCCAGCTGACCACTTCCTGGAGATGGCTGAAGGGGTAATGTTAGTCAGCTATGGATTGGACTCTCGCCAGAAGTTATTCCAAAAACGAAATGATTTATGTACAATTTAAAATAATAAATAAAGGGTGCTGCTCCCAAAAGGGAATTTTTTTTTCTTTAGGCAGTTGGGGTTAAGTGACTTGCCCAGGGTCACACAGCTAGTAAGTGGCAAGTGTTTGGTCTGAGCCCAGATTTGAACTCAGGTCCTCCTGACTTCAGGGCCGGTGCTCTATCCACTGCGCCACCTAGCTGCCCCCTATAGGGGAAATTTTTTAAATTGGATAATAGAGATGAAAAGTATTTCAACTCATCATATAGGACGTTCCTATGCCTCTAGCTAGATATCAACCTGTCATGAAAACTAGTTATGGCCTAAGATGAGAATTACATGGTTAAGTTAGTAATGTTAGTTAGTAGTTAGTAAGTTAGTAATGTTAGTAACACTTTAAAATAATGCATTATAGCAAGGTCATGCTTCAGCCCTTATGCTCTTTATGCCCATTACTGTTAGCTATGTTATTACAGTTCTATAAACTGGCAGATATTATATTACATAAATCTTCTGGGTGTGCTCACTTCATTCTTGCATTACTTTGTACTAGGCTTCCCAGGTTTCTTTCAAACTATCTCTTGCATCATTTCATATAGCACAGTAATACTCCATTACATTCATAGATCATAATTTAGCCATTCCACAATTGCTGGACACACCCCTTGGTTTCTAGTTCTTAGCCACCATATAAAGAAAGAACTGTTGATAAACATACATGAGTATACATGAGTCTTTCCTCTTTTGTATCTTTAGTGCATAGGGAAAGCTCATCTTTTTAAGGTTAACTTTCTGTCAGTATTGCTATATGGTATTGAGATGTGAAATATAACTGCCTCTGGAGAGTAAAAAAGAATAGCCCACAGAGGGCAATGGAGAGGTGCCTAGTGGGTGTGAGCATGCTGCAACACATGACCAGTGAGAAACTATGAAAAATAACAGTAGTAAGGGGGCAGCTAGGTGGTACAGTATATAAAGCTCTGGCCTTGGAGTCAGGAGGACCTGAGTTCAAATCCGGCCTCAGACACTTGACACTTACTAGCTGTGTGACCCTCGGCAAGTCACTTAATCCCAATTGCTTCACCCAAAAAAAAAAGTATAAATAAATAAAATAACAGGAGGAAAAGATATCAAGAAATAGTACGATAAGAGAAGGTAGACCAGACAAATAGTGAGAGCAGGAGATAGGAGGTCGATAGCCAGTTTTCCTAACAATTTTTGTAGTGACAATTAACCCTTTTAATTCTTGTGATCATCTCTGTCTCTTTTGGTCATGAATTCTTCTGCTATCCATAAATCAGACAAGTAATTTCATTCCATGCTCCACATTTATTTGCTTATGGTATCACCCTTTATGTCTACATCGTGTGCTCATTTTGACTTTATCTTGGTATACGTTGTGAGATGTTGGTCTATTCCTGGTTTCTGCCAGACTTCATTCCAGTTTTCCCAATAGTTTTTGTAATTGGAATTATCCACTTTACTTCCTGTAATCTTCCTATAACATACTTGTTTATGAACTAGGTTGATAGCCAGAGTATCACCTGATAACATTTCAGTGACAGGAGAAAGAGAGGCCTACCCAGCATGTTGCAGTTGGGAGTGTTTGGACTAGTGTTTCACAAGATTGGCGAGCATGAATGAGTTTCAGTATGCTTGGTTGGAAGGAATTCCTGAAACAATGAAAGTCCAAGATCGGTTTGAGAGCTTTTTACTTCTATGATAGAGGCCTGTAAAATACTATTCATATCCCAAAGTCAGAATTGAAGGACCACTCTCGAGTAAACTCAACCAATTTTACATTTATTGAAAATGTTTTATAAAAGTGTAATTTAAATGAGTGTGGGCTCTTAGTAGACAGTTTTCTTTTTGTTAGGGTTAATGTTTTGTTTTTTAAGATGTTTAAGATGGAAACTGTTGTTTAAACCAACTGGTATTGATTTCTGCATTGACAAAAATTACTAGTTGTGGAAAGGATTCTGATATCTGATTCTTACCATAAATAATTCACAAGTGATATAAAAAACTCACCAACAGAATGTTTCCTTATCTGTAAAAGATAAAGGATTGTATCAGATGATCTTTAAGATTCCCTTCTAGTTCTAAATTTGTCTAATTACTAGTAGGTAGGTCTTTTGAATAAACAAGAGATGTCACCTTGAAAGTGACACTTTTTAAAAAAGACACTAGTGCTTATAAACTTGGAATACAAAATGTCAAAACTAAGCTAAGTTTAAAGTGCCAGACAACACATGCAATATTTTCTTCGGTATGTCTCTTACATAGATGTTATGCCCAGGGAATTCACTACTTGGCATATCATTTTAAGCTTTGTTATGGTATTTTACTTGTTTTGAGTATTAATTTGCTGTATAATTGAGTAATAATTTTCTGTAGTAAGTATGGCTTTTATTATGTCTGTGAATTAAACTTTTTAAATAGGTGGGCATGTTCAGTTTCATAATACAGCTTAATGGGGAAATTATTTGGTTTTCAGAAATTAATTTCATAGGTAGTATAAAGAACACTTATTTCATAAAGAGAGGTATAACTACAACTATTCAGTGCTAGTAATAGCATTTTTATGACCATATAGATACTAATATTGCCATCATACATATTGGTGCTGTGATATAATTGGAGCTAATAATAAGTTGCTAGCTGAGTTAAAAAAACTATGAGTACATTCCTTTCTAAGCATGTATATCATATAGAATCTTATTTATTTATTTATTTATTTTTTGGCAATTGGGGTTAAGTGACTTGCCCAGGGTCACACAGCTAGAAAGTGTCAAGTGTTTGTCTGAGGCCAGATTTGAACGCAGATCCTCCTGACTTCAGGGCCGGTGCTCTATCCACTGACCCACCTAGCTGCCCCTTAAATCAATATTCTTAAAGCACAGATCTAACCATGTCACTGCCCTGCTTCAAAGGTTCCAATGGCTTCTTCTTCTCTCTAAGATAAAATACAAAATCCTATTTGGTTTTTATGAAATCTATAGTTAACCTAGCTCCAGTCTACTTTGCTTGCCTTATTTCAGATTACTATTACACTCATATTCATGAACTCTGTGTTCTACTCAAACTGGCCTATTTGCAGTTCGCCTTACATGACATTCCATAGCCTCTCTTGTAAACCTAGCTGCCCTCCCCCACTTTTTTTTTTAAACATATACGATCTTAATTAAAATTGAGCCTTGGTTCTGTAGCCATTTGTAATGCCAATCACAAGCTAATAGAGTAAATTTTACTTATGTATTTCTAAGCTCCCATAAACACTGCTTTTAAATTATGTTTATTTTGAACTTTATTTAGGGCTCTGAATGGCAAAATAATTGTCCAAGAGGAGCAGATTGCAGAATATATTGAAAAAATTAGTATTTTAGAAGAGGAGCTTAATAGGGTAAGTATAAATACATGGGAAACAATGTGTATTTTTCAAGGAAGAAGTTGCCAATATTTTAAAAGAAAAAATTCTAAATCTATGTGACAACTGTTTGCAAAATCAGTGTTTTCTGAGAAAATAAATTGAAAAAAGGAAAATAAGAGATAAAAATCAAGTATAGAGGCTTTGAACTTTAAAAAAAATCCTTAAACTGCCATATTATGTTGTTATTACTTGTTATTGTATCCTGTTTTTCAATGCAGATATTTGGGCCAGTCTTGTGTATTCTACTGTTTTCTACTCTGTGACAAGGAAGACTTTTTGATTGCTTCAGTATCCTCCATGTTGTTCCCAGGGATGCCTCTTCATTATATTCTGTACTTAGGAAGCCTTTGTAAAATGGTCTTTGAAGACCGTTTTAATCTTGTCTTCACCAGAATAATATATTTTTAAAATTTTCTAAATGAAAATCAACATTTTTTTCCTTGAAATATTTTGTGGAGTATTCAAAGATAATTATGACACTTCAGTGATATTTCTTTAGGAAAAATCTGGTTTTATGTGTTTGTTGGTGTGCTGAGCTTGAAACCTGGAATCAAGTCTCCTGGAAAAAGAGTATGTTAACCAGTGTGCAGTAGAAATAGAGCATAGGATGGATTTCAAAGACACTACAGTGTAAAATTGAAGTGGATGTGGGGAAAAGGGAAAGAGTTAAATGAGTATTTCTAAGATTTTAATGCTGGAAAAACTATGGTACCATTGTCTTAGAAAAAGGCAAGTCTAGAAGAGCTCTGGTTTGAGGAAGAGTTTGACTTTATACATTTTTAATTTAGAGTAACATCAGGATATTGAAGTGGAGTTAGAACTGGAGGAAAACAGAGCTGGTAATGTAAACATTTTTAATAGAAGTGATAATTGAAGCCAATAAAGTACAATCTTTTAGATGAATTTATAGAGAGAAGAGAAGAGGGCCAGGGGCTTAACCTTCATTTGCAATCATATTAGTGAGGTAGGAGGAGGAAATGGTACCAGTGAATGCATCAAAAGGAAGAGTCAAAGCAGGAGGAATAGATCTAGTGCAGTATTTAAATATGCCCCATGAGAAAAATTAGACCAGTGTTCTTTCTGTTACCCTGTAGTGATTTTGAAACATGTTTACTGTCATCTGGTTGGAATAACTCTTCCAGATATTTAAATCTATAAAAGTCATACTTTATTCTTTGTTTTACAGTCCTTTTAGGTATATCTTAAAATATGTAACTACTGCTTATTTTTCACTAATTTTCACAAACTAAGTTTCTTTAAAAGAGGTTGTATTCTACTGGTAGTTTAAGAATTAGTTTATTGGTCTGCCTTTCTGGGAGCAGGGGAACCTTTCTTACTTTCAGGGTAGCTGATAGAATTGTAACTCTTAAAATTCATGATTTTGAAGAATAGAACCATGTAACTCTTTGTGAGAGGAAAAATGATAAAATCACTAATACTGTCATTCATCAATCAACAAATATTTATTAGTTGTTTATGCTGGACATTGGGAGTACAAGCACAAAAGAAGTAATCTACCTGCAAGGAGACTGTTAGCATGACTTGCTAATGGGGGAATCAACAAAAAGGAAAAATACGTACAGCATAAACACAAAGTTAATAAATTCAGACACGTGCATAAGGTAGTTTGGAAGGGAGGACACCAGCAGTCAGGGTGATCAGGAAAAGCTCCATGTAGAAGATGGGGCTTAAGCTGTGTCAAGGGGAAAAAGGCATTCTCTGAGGCCATTAGTTTTAGCTGGGGAGGACAGCCAACACAAAGACACAAACTATTGCGGTCACAATGTGGGGCAGAAAGAAGGCTGATATAGCTGAATTGTTGAGTGGGGAGGTGGGAGGTAGGGATATGTCCAGTGAAGCTGGAAAGATTTGAGTTAGGGCCAGGTTGTAAAGGTCTTTAAACTCCAAACAGATGAGTTCATACTGTATTCTAGAGACAACAGGGGGCTACTGTGGTTGATTGAATTAGAGGACTGATATGTTCGGTTCTGCGCTTAATGAAATTTACTTTGGCGTTTTTCTGGAAGATGAATAGAAGTGGGAAAAGAGTTGAGGCAGGGGACCTGCCTGGTCTGACTAACCAATTAGCTTTGATATTAGCTGCTCAAACTTTATAGAAGTACAGCTATTAAAAATCTAGTATGAGAAGCATCATGGTATAGTGGGTGGAGAACTGGCCTCAGGGAACCTGAGTTGAACTTAAAATTACTTGCCATGTAATCTCAGTCCAGTTAGATAGCCTTTCAGTGTTCCAGGCAACCGAGGTATAAATCTGCATTGGTGGAGGAAATTTCTTCACTTGGGAGTTCACTACACCAACTAAATTGTGGATACCTTAAAAAAAGTTAGCTTGTCAAATAAGTTTATAGTTTAATATTTCTAATATTTAATTACAATGTGAACTGGTAAATAACTTGTTTTTAAATGCTAAGGAATCTAGGTGGTTCCCATTTTCTGTCTTAATTTAATGTGTAATTGATAAAAAAAAATACATCCTTGCTAATTAGCTGTCCAAAAAATTTTTTTAAATGAAATATATGTTATTTTATGGTCTGGTTGGCACTTTCAGGTCACGGATTTGTTTGTGGATAACAAAAATGAACTTGAGCAATGTAAATCTGACCTCCAATATAAGGAGAAAGAACTTGAAGATACTCAAAAAAATTTACAAGAAACCAAATTACAGCTTGTTGAAGAAGAATATGTCTCATCAGTTTTGGAAATCACTGAAGAGAAACTTCATGATGCTGCCAGCCAGGTTAGTCATTTTCTTTTACAAAGTTACAGAGTTTTGGTTAATCAGCTTCATTGCCTTTTCGAATAAATCCAAATGAAAAAATGTATGTAACTTCTGCTTTTGCACAAAAAAACTGAGACACCGTTTACTCTATCCATCAAAGAAGCCATTTAAGAAAGCTGCCTTATAGATTTGTCTGTACTCTGATTTTACCAGTAATTGCTGATTTTTTAAAATATTGTTCTGAATTTAATACCAAAAAAGAGTAAGCCTATGTAAAAGTAGAATGAAAGAAGAGCATTGTATATGATACCTTGAATCTCTATTCCATATATCTTGCTTTTACAAGCATATGACAAAGTAACCATGTTTTTTTGTTCTGAATTTAATACCAAAAAAGAGCAAGTCTGTATCAAAGTAGAATGAAAGAAGAGCATTGTATATGATACCATGAATCTCTTTTCCATATATCTTGCTTTTTCAAGCATATGACAAATTAACATGTTGCTTTCTTTTTTAAAACATTTTATTAATTTGTTTTTACCTCACCTAGATTTCCCCTTTATCTCTCTTTTTACCCCCTCCAAGAGAGCCACCTTTGTTATAAGACAAAGAATTTTTTTAAAAAAAGGAAAGGAAAAAAATCAGTAAAACCAATCAATACATCAAAACAATCTAACTTTAGAGCTAATTGTAAAGGAACTACCAAAGTGGGGGGAAACTTTGTTCTGATAAATTCACAAGAGAATTCCATCAAAGTTTTAAAGAATAATTAATACGTATACTATACAAATTATTCTCAGAAATCAAGAAAGAAAAGCACTCTACCAAACTCTCTTTATGAAACGAATGTTGACATAATACCTAAAATTTTAAGTGAAAGACTTATCAAAGAGACTATAGTAGTTTATCCAAGAAATCATTCATTGTGACCAAGTTGGATTTGCATTGGGGTGCAAACATAGTTTATCATTAGGAAAACAATATAATCATTAAAAAACCATCTCAAACCAAATAATTATCTTTAGATGTGGAAAAAAATTGACACATTATAGCATTCATTTATGCTAAAATTCCTACAAAATATGAACATGGAAGAATTATTTTTTAGTATAAAAATGTAGACCAAAAGTAAACATTATATTCAATGGGAACGTAATATACTAGCAACTTTCCCAATAAATAGGAGTAAAGCAAGGTTACCACTTTCCTTGCCATTATTTGATATAGTTTTAGAAATGTTAATAACAAATAAGGCAAGAGAAAGTGGTTTAAATATGGGCAAAGTAGAGATAAAACTATCCCTATTTGGTAATGACATGATGCTTTTATTAGAAAATCCTGAAGAATGAAAAAGAAACTGAGATAGTAGTTTCAGCAAAATTGTAGGCTACAAAATCCACAAAAATCAAATCTATTTAAAACAAAATCCAAGAAGCAATCATGGGAATTATTCTAAATCTATTCTACATCAACACATTACTTCCAAAAGGGTCCTGTTTGTTTCTTTTTGTACTTCCTTCTGTTCCCTTCTGTTTTTAAGTTTCAGTGGCCCTATTTTAAAATTTTTTCTTTATTGCATTACTGTGGCTACCCCCTCTTCCACTTTAAATCCTCCTTCATCAAAGTTCAAAGTTGTTTAACTTTACAATGCTATTGTTACTGAGTAAATTCTTCCCATTGTTCTGCTCACTTCACTTTGCATTAAGTCATGCAAGTCTTTTCAGGAATCTCTGTAATTCTCTCATTATTTCTTATAGCAAAATGATGCTCCATTTATATTCCATTATTTGTCAGCCCTTTCCTGTTGATGAGCACCCCCTTAGTTTTTTGTTTGTTTGTTTACTATGACAAAAAGTGTTTCATAAATACTTCTTAAAATAATTGTCCTTTTCTTATTTCTTTGATCTCTTATACATGGTTCCAATGATATGCCTATTCTAGTGACTTTTTAGGTATACTTCCAAATGACTTTGCAGAATAGTTGGAACAATTCACAGCTCCACTAACAGTACATTCTCCCACTTCCCCTGCAACAATTGTTATGTTCTTTTTGTTGTTGTTGTCATCTTTGACAATCAGATTATGAAGTGAAACTTCAGAATTCCTTTGAATTATATTTATCTAATAGTGATTTTGGAGCTTTTTTTTAAATATAAAACAATTTCATATGCTAATAGCTTAGATGTCATCCTTTGAGAACTACCTGTTCATATCTTTTGACCATTTACCTTTTGGAGAATGCTTTTGGTTTTATATATTTGAATCAGTTCCTTATATCTCTTGAATATCACACTTTTATCAAAGAAACATGTTGCAAGGATTTTATCCCAGTTATTTTTCCTCTTTTGGCTTCCCTTTTTACAAAGAAGAAGGTGGTGAAAGAGAATGTATGTAATCAACACCAGTGGTTTGTAACTGAGTATTTGTTTCCATTCCACTACTCCTTTTCTATTCCCCTTGCCCTGACCACTATCACTGGTTTATTTTTTTCCTCTCTTAATTCCTACTTTAGGATCTCTTCTCTGAGTTAAGGCTGTTTTACTAAGACTCTTCCTTTCCTGGTATTAATTATCTTTCCCTCCATATCCGTGGGTGTGTGTGTGGGTGTGTGTGGGTGTGGGTGTGTGTGTTTGTGTGTGGGGGTGGGTGGGTATGAGAGAGTGAGGGTGTGAGTGGGTATGTGTGAGTGTGTGTGTGTGTGTGTGTGTGTGTGTGTGTGTGTGTTTTCAGATTCTACTTTGTCCATTTGAAATGAGTGTGGTTCATCTGATGCCTATCCCCCCCTTCCATTTCTTCCATGTTTATATGCTCTTCTTCTCATGTACCCCAGTTGTGAGAAACAGTGAGTTCATCTCTTTTTTTCCTCTTTTCTATGCTAAAATATTTCTCTTACCTTCCCTTTCCCACCCCTCTTAAACCATCAGAACAGAGAGTCCATCCGAGGTTCTCTGTTAATCTTATGTAACTCCTTTAAATATACTTTGAAAGCATTAAGTTTCTAAAAGGACACTTCTTTCTTTTTTCCTTATTAGAATGTTAGTGTAAATTGTATATATAGCCCTTTCCAGTTGTTGAAATAAATGTGTCCTTCTAGGTTTTCCTTGATTTTTGTGTTTGTACTTCAAAGTTTCTACTCTTTCTGTTTTATTAGGAATGGTTGAAAATCCTCTTTTTTATTTTATATACGTTACACACACACAAACACACACACCCTCTTCTCTCCCCCCCAAACACGAATACACATATACATACCTAGAACCTCTGGATTTTGGCCATGACATTCCTAAGATTTTTACTTTAGGATGATTTTTGGTTTTTTGATGGTGGTGGGTTTTTATTTTTCCTATTTTTCACTTTGCCCTTTAGTTCTGATAAATCTAAATAGTTTTCTCTCTCTCTCAGACTTTTAAAATTATGGTTTTTAGGGAGCTTGATTCTTTTTTTGTTTTGTTTTGGGGTTTTTTTGTTTGTTTGGTTGGTTGGTTTTTATTGGCTAGGCAGTGGGGTTAAGTGACTTGCCCAAGGTTACACAGTTAGTAAGTGTTATGTGTCTGAGGCTGAATTTGAACTCAGGTCCTCCTGAATACAGGACCAGTGCTCTATCCACTGCGCCCCCTAGCTGCCCCCAAGCTTGGTTCTTTTTAAAAATCCTCTTCTGCATTTAAATCTTATTTTTGAACTTTAATTTTTAAAAATTAGTCATCTGTTTTCTCTCTTTGATTCTCCTACCTCCATTGGTGGGGAATACACCCTTGTATCAAGTATGCAATCTAGAAAAACATATTCATTGACCATATCCAAAAATCTAAGACTCATTCTGCATATTTAGTCTGTCGCTCTGTGTCAGGAGGTTGTGTAACATGCTTCATCATTGATCCTCTAGAATCACAGTTGGTTATTTTGTTAATCAGTTCTTAAGTCTTTGTTACTATTATTATTCTCTTGGTTCTGTGCATTTCACTCTGCATCAGTTCATACAAGTCTTCCCAGATTACTTTGAAACCATCCCTTCCTCTTTTTTTCTTACAGGAAAATATATTCCATTACATTCATATACCATAATTTGTTCAGCCATTCCCCAATAGTTGTGCAGCCTCTTAGTTTCCAGTTCTTAGCTATTATAAAAAGAGCTGCTGCAAATATTTTCATACATGGGGATCCTTTTCTTCTTAAAAAATATCTTTCTGGGATATAGTCTTTCTAGGGGTATCACCAGTTCAAAATATCTTTTTGAGGATAGTTCCAAATTGCTTCCCGAAATGGCCAAAACGATTCACTGCTTCACTAACAGTACAGTAACATGTCTGTCTTCCTGTACTCCTTTCTAAATTGGTCATTTTCCTTTTTCTGTTGGCTGCATGAGGTGGAACTTCAGGTTGCTCTAATTTGCATTTCTCTAATAAGTGATTTACATAATTTTCCCCCCAAAGGTAAGCACCTCCTTTAGTTTCCAGTTTTTTTGTAACTATAAAAAGAACTGCTATAAATACTCTTGTATATAGGTCCCAAAAGTCTTAATTTCAGAAATAGAAATGCTACAAACTTACAAAAGACATAATTTGAAAGTTTAATTATTTAAATTTATTTTATACTCATTTAGTTCTGTGAATTTTGAATAATATTTACTTTTATTAATTCTTTATTTCAATTCCTCTTAAGGCTAGGGTTACATGCAAATGCGATCTTTTCGGTCACTGAGCAATAGCCAATGAAAGTTTTTACAAAGTTCAGAAATCAATTAGAGTAATATAGCATAAGATGATGAATATGTTGAATTTTAAGAACCATCAATATTTTAACATTTTAAATAGTTAACCTTTCAGTGCTTATTGTAAATTTGTAGCATTTAAATATACTTCTGAAGTTATAAAAGCTTAAAACTGCACTAAGATTTTTTGAAAATATATTAAATAGTATAGAATTTTTTTCTCCGGTTACAGGTCAAGAAAATTTCTAGCATTCATTTTTACAAGATTTTGAGTTCCAAATTTTTCTTCCTCCCCTCCCCCCTTCTGCTCATTTCACTTTGCATCAGTTCATACAAATCTTTCCAGTTTTTTCTGAAATCTGCCTGTTCATCATTTCTTACTCACAGTAGTATTCCATTACATTCATATACCATAGCTTCTTCAGCGATTCCCCAGTTGATGGGTATCCCCTCAATTTCCAATATTTTGCCACCACAAAAAGGGCTGCTGTAAATATTTTTGCAAATGTAGGTCCTTTTCCCTGTTTTATGATTTCTTTGGGATACAGACCTAGAAGTGCTATTGCTAGGTCAAAGGCTATGCACGGTTTGGTTACCCTTAGGGCATAAAACTGCACTAAGACTTTTTTGGGATTTATATGAGTTTTTTTTTTTTAATTTAAATTTTTTTTTTTTATTCTTTGATCTTTTCAGGATGTAGGCTTTATAAGTGATGTTGCTGAGTCTGACGGTATACACAGCTTAATGACTTTCTAGGATTTGGGCACAGTTTTGAATTGCTTTTCAAAATAGTTGTACCTTTCATGTGGTGGAGTTTGATTCTTAGATTATCTGTCCTTGGCCTGTTTTCCAGGACATTTGTTTTTGAAAGCAGTAGCTTTATTATATCAGAATTTCTTTTCTGCCTTTTGATTTTTGTTCTAAGATTTGTTTCATGAGGTCATTGATTTCTCTTTGGTCCATTCTAATTTTCAGGGTATTTGGGTAAATTGGTAAATTTTACCACTTTCTATTCTAAGCTATTTGTCCTTCCAGTTCTTTCTGAAACTTTGATTTCATTTTTTTAATCTCTTCATTTCTTCCAGGCATTGAGATAGTTCTTGTGGAAAATGAACTTTTTTTTTCTTTTGAGATTCTGCTTTTGGTTGTTACAGATTTTTGGATTATCTAGATGTACAGTAGTTCTTAAAAGTGGTTGATATCTTCACTCTCTCTCCAGCCTTAGTTCCTGAATTGGGGCTTTGCCCCCTGCTGTATTTTTGGGTAATGTGGCTAGCCTTGCTTGGTCTTGATCTGGGTTATTTGGATTCCTTGCCCGACCTCCACCTCCTGGGAGTTTCTGTATTAAGCATGCTGGTAGATTCCAGGCCCCTGAATCTTTGAGGTTCTGGGCACTGGTTTTGTGTGTTTGATCTATACAAGAATAATTGTGTCTTGGGCAGCTAGGTGACGCAGTGGATAGAGCACCAGCCCTGAAAGTCAGGAGGACCTGAGTTCAAATCCGGCCTTAGACATGTAACACTCACTAGCTGTGTGATTCTGGGCAAGTCACTTAACCCCAATTGCCTCACCAAAAAAAAAAGAATTGTGTCAACTTTGATTATCATTTTAGAATAATTACAAAATCCTGAAGTATGCAGACTCACTTTAGGAAATGATTAATTTGAGAGCAAATTGTATAAAGACATTGGTACTATAACACCTTTTTAATATTTAGCTGGAAGTGGTAATAGGTAGGAAATCTAATCTATAGGGTGAAAAAAACATTTCTTTGTGGAGGGACAGGGAGTACAACTTCACATTTGATTAGCATCACTATCTTTCACCATCATTTTCACTTAAGTCCCTCCTTCATACTCTAAATTCTTTCTTAATTATATAATGCTTACGTCACATCCATCTTACCAATGCTACTATTTTTCTTTTTGCTTTTAAAATAGTTACTTACTACTGTTGAAGAGACGACAAAAGATGTGTTTGGTCTACATTCAAAACTGGATCGTAAACAAGCAGTTGATAAGCATAATGCTGAAGCCCAGGAGATATTTGGCAAAGACCTGAATAGCTTATTTAATAAAATGGAATTTTTGATAAAAGATGGCACCAAAAAACAAAAAGCCATGTTAGACTCATACAGTACTTTGTTTGGTAAGCTCAAATTCAGTGTTCAAATATATTTTTAATGTCCTAATTTATTTTAGCTTTTAACTTATATGTTGGCCTCAAACTTAGTAAAATGTCATCTATGTGTCAATTTTTTTTAGCCTAGACCAGGTTCAAATTCTTCTGCCCCTTGATTCAGTGTTCTATCAGTCTTGTAGGACAGAGCTTCTAATAGAGATGATACTGTCTTCATTATGGTCATAGGCATAGATAGTATCATTCTCTGCCATTAGTATGTCATATTTTGGCCATCACTGGCCAGATTCTCTTATACCAATTGATTGAGAGAGAGAGAACCAACTTGGTTGAGTCCTTTCTCTGACATAAACTAGCTCTGTGACTATGAGTAAATCACATAATTTCTCAGTGCCCCAGGCAGCCAGCTCTAACACTATAATTTGTAGATGAGAATGGAGTCTCCATACTGTGTGCTCCTTACACTCACGAAATCACATATGCACAAAGGATCTAGGGTTTATATACTGCTCTGAGGCTTATAAAGCACATTTATTTAGGTTATCCCATTTAATTCTTAAAACTCTTTGGGGTAGGTTCTTATATTTATTACATATAAGTAATTTTTGGCAGATGAGAAAACTGAGGCTCAGAGAGGCTACATGACTCTCCCTTGTCCCATAGCCAATGTGACATTCAAACCCAGTGGTTTCCGGACCTCGAGCCCAACATACTTTCTGAATATCCCAGTACCTCATGAAGTTGTTGAATGAGCATTGTTTTAGAAGTGTAGAAACCCAGATTTTACTCCTGATTTTCACTAGTTTTGTGACCTTAAGTCACACTTTTTCTGGGCTTCAATTTCTTCTTTTCTAAGTGGGATGGACTAGATTTACTAGGTCCAATCCAATTGCAAAATTACAATTAAGTAGCTAATTATATAATATAACATTTCAGTGTAAATTTCACTGTAATAGATTTCTAAATTCCATTCAATGGTGTATTTACTTAGTATGTATGCACATTTGATATACTGCAGATTCTAATAAATTATTGGACAACTCAACAAGTTCAGCAATTCAACTCTTAATTACTGTGTATAAAGAGTAAGCCAGTTTGGCCAGAGCATAGAATACATACAGATAATTAGTATAAGGAAAGCCTAAACAGATAGAGAGGTTTCAGATTGATTTGGGCCTTGAATGCCAGACTAAAGAGTTTGAACTCTTTTTTTCCTATTTTTTGATAGGCTGCAGGATACCCCTGATGGAATAATAAGGCCAGATAACTACCTAAAGAAAGATTGATATATTAATAGTGAGAAGAATAGGCTTGAGAGTTAGATAATGTAAGTAAAAAAGTCATTAGGAAGCTATTATAGTTCAGGTGGGTGTGAATGGGAGTCTATACCACAGTGATAATCTTGGTTTTGAACCTGTTAAGTTAGAAGTGCTTCTGAGTCATTCAAATAGACATGTTCAAAAAGCAGTTGGAGTCACAAGTCTAGAGTTAAAGATGGAAAAAAGCACTGGAAATTTAAATTTGAAAGTCATCTGTGTAGAACTCATAGTTAAACCAATGGGTATTAATGATATTGCCAAGTAAGCAAATGAAAAGAGAACCTTGAGAAATACTTAACCTTCAGGAATCAGAATAGTAGCCATGAAAGGAGGCAGAGAAGGAGTAGTTAAGAGAGGTAAGAAGAAAACAAGCAAAGCATGATGTCTAAGAAACCAAGGGTAGAGAAAGTATTGAGTCCAGAAGGAGGCTTGATTGATAGTAAACACCTGAATCGTATGTAGGTCAAGGACGGTGAGGACTGAGGCAAGGGCCCTGGATTTGGCAATAGGGAGGTCATCAGATGTTGGAGAAGCTTTTTCGGTAGAGTGGTATTGAGGGAATGGGGAATTGGATGCTCAAACTTGTCAACTTTGAGGATAGTACCGATTTTAAATAACATTTTCTTTTCCTAGGTCATCTATTATCTACAAGTTCCTCTGCATTAGACAGTATTACAACAACTGCACTTGGATCTCTTACCTCAGTTTTAGAAAAAGTATCTACCAATGTTTCTCAGATTTCAGATGTGATATTAAAAGAAGAATCTATAACAACTGAAAGTAAAACTATTCTTCAGAAATTGATGGTAAGTAAACAATGTGTCCTATTATGAAACAGTGGTAATGATCAGCATTCCAATTTAAGCTATGTAGTCACAGTAGAGACCGTATCATGATAGCAGTTGAATAGAATAATGTGGGGCAAGGACTTGCAAATTTTGAAGCACTTTATAAATGTGAACTGCAATACTAAGTACTATTATAACACAATAATGATAATGACATGTTACTAACATGATATTTCAGATATACATGGTTTTGTTTTTTCTTTTAAAAAACTTGACATCAAGTGGATAAACCTGCTATGGAAACAGTCTCCTCTTACTCCATGTCCCCCATCCTCCACCTCCTATATACACATTCACACGCTTTCTCCTGATTTATAAAATTAAAAGTACAGAGATAATAATAATTTAATACTCTAGAAATGAGGGCCAGATGTCTTCTGGGAATTAGCATCCATTTGCAGGGTCCACATATTGGTTAAATAACCATATCTCTGATTCCTATTCAGATGGGTACAACATAAAAGAACTCCTTTGGAGCCAATGGACATTAGGATTGCAGGTCTCCCTTCTCTGACAGAAGCCAGTATTAATTATTGACTTTCTCTAGGCTGTGATTCTGTGGTAATTTTTTTTTCCATTTTTCTTTCCATTGTTTTTCCAAGTATAGCTACCTTGCAAACCTATGATTTCTAGAATTGCCTTTTTTGTTTCTTACCAAAATATTAGGTCCCTTTCCAGCCTTTATGTAACTCCTTCCCCCATTTTTGTACATATTATTCTGGGAAAAAAAACGGATGAATGCCCACTAATGACTTTTATATTTGCTATATTTCCTTGAGTAAGTCACTAAACTTTCCTGGGTCACATTTTCCTTACCTATAAAATGAAGAAATTGAACTAAATCTCAACATCTCTTTCAGCTGTAATATTTGGTGGTTCTTTTAGTACTCTGGGATATGTAGAGTACTGTTGTTGTTCAGTTGCAGAATCTTAAGCATAACCTTGCTGGCATGTGAAATGAGCACAGTTGTTCAGTAATTTGAACATTCTTTGGCTTTGATCTTCTTTGGGATTAGGATGTAAAGTGATCTTTTCTAATCCAGTGACCACTGTTGAGTTTTCCAAATTTGCTGGCATATTGAGTACAGCACTTTAACAGCATCATCAGTGGATAGAGTTCCAGCCTTGGAGTCAGGAGGACCTGAGTTCAAATCTGGCCACAGACACTTGACACTTACTAGCTGTGTGGCTCTGGGCAAATAACTTAACCCTGATTGCCTCACCAAAAAGCAAACAACAACAACAACAACAACAACAACAACAAACAGCATCATCTTTTTTTTTTTTTAGCATCATCTTTTAGAGTTTTAAATAACTCAGTTAGAATTCTGTCACCTCCACTAGCCTTATTGTTAGTCATGCTTCCTAAGGCCCACTTGACTTCACTCTCCAGGATGTCTGGCTCTGGATCAGTAACCACATTATTGTGGTTATTGGTGATGTTAGGATCTTTCTTGTGTAGTTCTTCTGTATATTCTTCTTGATCTCTTCTATTTCTGTTAAGTCCTTACCATGCCACTCATTTTTTGCATAAAACGTTCCCTTGATAGCTCTTGTTTTCTTGAGGAGATCTCTTGTCTTTCCCATTCTGTTGTTTTCTTCTGTTACTTTACATGGCTCATTTAAGAAAACCTTCTTACCTGTCCTTGCTATTCTATGGAATTGTACATTCAGTTGGGTATATCTTTCCCTTTCTCCCTCACCTTTTGCTTTCCTTCTTTCCTCGGGTATCTGTAAAAGCCTCATCAAACAGCCATTTTGCTTTCTTGCTCTTTTTCTTTGGAATTTTTTGTTGCTGCCTCCTGTACAATATTGTGAACTTAATCTATCTAACTGTATCTAACACTCTGTCTAACAAATCTAATCCCTTAAATCATCACTTCTGCTTCATAAAGAATGTTATTTAGGTCATTTCTATCTAGTCTGATGGTTTTCCCTACTTTCTTCAATTTACATCTGAATTTTGCAATGAGAAGCTTATGATTGGAGCCACATTGAGCTCCAGGTCTTGTTTTAACTGACTGTATAGAGCTTCTCCCCCTTTGGCTGCAAAATATATAATTGATCTTATTTTTATATTGACCATCTGGTGAAGTGTATGTGTAGAGTCACCTTTTGGGATGTTGAAAAGAGTGTTTGCTATGACCAGTGAGTTATCTTGACAAAACTCTAATAGTCTCTGCCCTGCTTCATTTTGTACTCCAAGGCCAATCATGTCTGTTACTCCAATTATCTTTTGATTTCCTACTTTAGCATTCTAATCCTCATGATGAATGTGACATCATTTTTGGTGTTATTTCTAGAAGATGTTGCAGGTCTTCACAGAACTGATTAGCTTTGGCCTCTTCATCATCAGTGTTTGAAGCATAGTCTTATTACTATGTTGTTGAATGTTTTGCCTTGGATTTGAGCAGATATCATTCAGTCATTTTTTGAGATCATACTCTGGTACTGCTTTTTTCACTGTTTTATTGATTGTAAGGGCTACTCCATTTCTTCTAAGGAATTCTTGCCCATAGTAGTGTATGTAATGATCACCTGAATTAATTCATCTTTTCCTGTCCATTTGAGTTCACTAACACCCAAGATGTCGAAGTTTAGTCTTTCCACCTCCCATTTGGCCATCCAGATTACTTGGTTCATATATCCGACATTCCAGGTTCCTCTGCAATACTAATCTTTACAGCATCATATTTTCCTTTCTTTACCAGACGTATCCACAGCAGAGCTTCCTTTCAGCTTTTGCCTAGCTGTTTCATTGGTACCAGAACTACTTTTAGTTGCCCTGAGCTCTTCCCCAGTAACATGTTGGACACCTTCTAACCTGAGGGGCTCGTTTTCCAGTGTCATGTCTTTTTTCATTTTAATACTGTCCATGGAGTTTTCTTGGCAAAGATACTGGAGTGGTTTGCCATTTCCTTCTCCAGTGGATCATCATTTGTCAGAACTCTTTACTATGACCTGTTTGTGTTGTGTAACCCAGCACAACAAAGCTCAAAGTTTCATTGAGTTACTTAAGTCCCTTTGCCACAAAAAGGCAGTGATCTAGGAGGGAATACAAGGTACTAGGACATACAAATTTAAATATATCTATCCCTAGTCCTATTCTCAGATGCTGTATCCCAGTTTTCAACTAATAAGCTGTACCTTAAAATACTTAAAATTAATGTTTATTATTTTGCCGGTCTTTTCCTTTATCATGAATAGCTCAACTCTTATAGTTTAGTCATCATTGTGCTTAAAGTTATCTCCCATCATATCCAGCCCTAATTTTTCTCAAAACCAATGCCATATCAACAAATTTTCCCCTGGATGACTGAAGCTAGGACATCCTATGAATAGCTTATAGAATGTCTAAAATGTAACAACACCCCAAACTTATCCCTCTTCCAAACTTCCCCTTGTCTGTTGAGGGCATCATCTTTCTAGTCATGAGGTTTGCATCTTTGACTCTTCTCCCTCTCTTAGCTCTTATGTATAAGGAGTTACCACATTTTTCCTATCCTACTTCTACAACATCTTTCATTTTCCCCCTCTTCTTTATTCTCATTCCTGCCCTCTTCACCTTTCACCTAGACTTTTGTAATGTCTCTAAATTGGTCTCCCTGCTTCTAGTCCTTTCCTGCTCCAAAGCATTTTCCACCCAGCTGCCAAAGTGATATTTTTAAAATGTAAATCTGACCTCTGCGATAAACTTCTGTATTTAAAGCCCTTCTCAAGCTGGCTTTCACCATCTTTCTAATATTTCTAATATTAGATAGCGCAGTGGATAGAGCACTGGTCCTGGAATTAGGAAGACCTGAGTTCAAATCTGACCTCGGAAACTTAACTGTGTGACCCTGGACAATCTCTTTACTTCTATCTGCCTCAGTTTCCTCCACTGTAAAACAGGGACAATAATAGCACTTACCACCTAAGGTGATTGTGTGGATCAAACGAGATATTATTTGCAAAGCGCTTAGCACAGTGCCATAGTAGGCACTTAAATAAATACTTATTCCCTTCCTTTCATATGCTTGCTGTCCCAGTCAAATTAGCCTATTTATTTTTGCCCATACATGACATTCATTTCCCTTGTCTTTGTACTAGTGATTTCCCACGTCTGGGATGTACTTCTTCCTTACCTCAGCCTACCTGAAGCTTCTTTCATAAAGCAGTTGAGATACATAGCAAGGCCTTTTGTGACTACCAACCATCGTTGTCTCCTCCCCCCCAGTTATTAACTTGACCTCTTGAAATTTTGTAGTTATATAATTTGTATTTGCTTATTCATATGCATGTTCCTCTCCCACTTCCACCCCCCCCCCCCCCCCCCCCCCCCATAGAACACAAGCTCCTGAAAAGGCAGGGACCATGTAGTTTTGTCTTTGTGTCCTTTGCATCCAGCCCCAGAACCATGTGTCTAGTCCACGTTTAAATGGCTGTTGAATTGAATTTATTCCCCAAGCACACACAAGGAGTTGGACACCAGCCCAAGTTAATTCCACTACTTTTTGCCCCCAGAAAACTGCCTTTAAAGTCCAGTAACCTCTTAGAGTTAAATTCAGAACAAGTTGCACAGACAAAACCGGACAATATGTCTTAGAGAGCTTTGAAGTGTCAGCTCTCACACTGACTGCTTCTCCTTAGGGATCACTGAGAGAATGATGGTCATGTTTTATGCAGTTAATAAGAATTTAGCCCAATTATTTCTAGAATTTCTTAACTAGTTTAATTTAATGGTCCTAGTTTGAAGCATTAAGAAAATTAATGCCTGTGTGTGTGTTTTTAATTACCCTAGGGAGAACATAAAACTCAGCTTGATAAATCACTGGAAATGACTCTTTCCCCTCTGGTGGTATCTCTGTTGGAACTCAATTGTCAAATGAATTGTAAATTCAAGAGTCTTCTGTCAGTAGTCAATAAGGTAACAAATGTTTCATTTTTAATATTTGAAAGTGAACCTCCGTTTAAGAAGGAAACTAAATCCTTTTTCTTCAAAGATAGAAGATCAAAAAAAGGAAATGGATGATTTTCTCAGCACGCTTTGTAAAAGTCTGCATGAACTACAGGAAAATACTGATGCATCCTTGGCTGAATCTCAGAAGCACTGTAAAACCTTAGTGAATGAACTGAAGACAGTGAAGCAAACCCAGTGCCAGGTATCAAATGAGCAGTTGGTTTTATGAGGGCGAGGGTAATTCGATCACCTTTGCTGGGAGCAATGTAAGCATTCTCAAACTAGCATTTTAACAAGTTTGGAAGTTAGTAATGCCCTTCAGACTCTTTAATGTAGCTGGATATGATGGCCCATGGTTGTCATCCCTGCCACTGGGGAAGCTGAAGTCGGCGTGTCTCTTGAGTTCCAGAGTTCTGAGCTGTGACGTCCCATGCTGATCTCGTGTCCTCACCAAGTCCCACGTCAGTGTCATAAGCCCCCAAAAGTAGAGGGTCATCAAATTGCCTAAGGAAGAATAAACCAGGCCAAAAAAAAAAAAAAAAGAATAAACCAGCTCAGGTTGAAAATTGAACAAGTCAAAGTGCTGGATAAGGCTTATGAATTAGCTACTATATTTTTAGCCTTGGTGAAATAAGGAGATCTAGTCTTTAAAAAAATAAAAAAAGGGAAAAAATTGTTTAATCTCTAGCGACTGGAAATAGCCTACTCAAAGTTGATCAGTCAGCATATTTACTGTATGCAGAACACTATACCCAGTATTATTGATAAAGAAAATATTGTTTACATCCGGCTAAAAGATGAGGTCAAAAGGGAAAGATTAGCAGTGTGATAATAAAAAGGACGAATACAACAGCTCTTGAAAATGGAAAGTGTAACCTAAATAGAATTTTGGAAACTATCTTTTTTTTAATTACCTTATTTTTATCAATACTTTTCATTTAACTTCATATTGATTTTTTAAATGTCCTTCCCACCCTTTCTTATCTGACAAGATTTCCCTTGTAGCAAAGATTTTAAAGAAAGGAAGCAGTTTAGCAAAATTAACCAACACTACAACCATGTATGTCAGTATACGAAATATTCCACGCCCTTAATTCCCCAGCTCTGTAATGAAGGGAGAGAGACTTATTTTCTACTTTGTCTTTCTTCTCAGAATTATAACTAAGGTGGGGTGACTGAGCCTTTACCTTAGGGCTCCAGAAATGTAGAGGGCACTGACAGTACTTGTACTTCTTCAGCAGATAGAAGACCCAGCTGAACTTAGCAAGAATAGTTAGTTAATAAGAGGCTTCCTCCTAGAGCCAGACCTACTTCTTTCCCTGGCAGTGACCATTTCAGTGGGAGTAGGCCCTTGTAGTATCTTGAAATCTTTCTGACTGGACCATCTGTCCAGTCTCTCCTGATACCTCCCCCAGTCACCTAAATCTGTCTTTCAAAGTTAATTAGAGGGCAACTTTCGGGCAACTTGTCCTGGCTCCATTTTAATAATTACTGATTACTAGTTATTGTTTGGTCTTCCTAGGGTGATCTGAATAGTCTCTTATAAAGCAAACTTGATGTTTCTTGGTCCCTTCTTGCTTTGCATAACTTGTGAATTATTTAAACCATACAGTCAACTAAATTTTGCTTTTAAGTTCTCATTATATTTAGACCAAGTTGATGATAAAAATATTTCTGAGTAGACACGATTTTCTAGCTCTTCATAAGTTCTCCAACCCCCAGTATATGACTTTATCATAGCACTTTATGGCCTCTTTCAAATCAGACATATTTTGAACCGTAAATGTAGAGAAAGAACCACTTGATCAAAATCCATTTATCCAAGTAGATGTATGTTATATACCACATTAGGCCTTTAGCAATAAATGCCTAAAAATCCCAGCAGGTGGGGATGTTGCTCTATGAACAAAATCTGACAGAGGAACCTTGTGACAACTTTTTTCTTCAGTGCAAGTTACCTTGGGTGGAAAATGAGGCCCAGACGACAGTAGGAGCTCCCCAGCCCCAGAACTTCTGCTTCTGTTCTTCTCAGGACGGGCTTTAAAGCACTTTAAAGAAATTGTGCCCAATCTTACTTTTATTCTAATCTTGAGAAGAGACTATGACAAGGGAGCGATCGTCTTGCTGTTAACCCAGCCTGATTCCGTTTGGTCTCAGCCTTTGCTATGAAAATTTCAGAGTCATTTTGTCATTGGCATTTGTGGAATTCCTGACGCATTCATTCCAGATTGATGGCTCCTCATGTGGTTGGAAGGGCAGTTGACTTTGGGAGTCAGGAGAGCCAAGTTCAGGTTGTATCTCACCACTTACTGATTGCATGAGGACCTTAGATGAGTCACTTCAAGTCCTTGGACCTCAAGATTTCCTACCTGGTCTTTGGATTACTTGTCCTCTTTTGGTATCAGTATCATTGCTTTACTCCATTATTCTAATTAGTCATTCAGAAGTTAACTATTTGTTTAATTGTATAATTTGTGGGGTTTTTTCACTTCCAGGAACTTTGCCAGTTAATGAATCTTTGGGAACAAAGATTCTGTGCCTTGGAGGAAACATGTGGAAATGTCAAGAATCCACTCAGAAATATTCAAGAAAATCTGCAACAGTAAGATGTTTTTCATTCCTGCTTATAGCTATTTTTTGTAACATCTGTAAGCTAATATATTTGATTCAACATAGATTTCATGTAGGCCCCTGAAAAGAATTTCTTTAGAAATTTAGAAGATAAGGTTAATGTGAAAGGATAACATGGATCATTAACTTTCATTTTTTAGTCATTTGGATGAGTTAATTAATGAAAAAATATTTATTAAGAGTTTACTTGTGCCAGACACTATGCTAAGTATTAGGAATATAAGTAAAAGCAAGTCACACAGTCTTTGCTATCATACACTTTCTGGACGGAGCCCAGGTTTAAATACCAAACAGAGGAGTTTGTATTCGATCCTAGGTACAAAGAAGGAATTTAGGACAGATGCATAGGTTCTGTAGATTGTTGGGAGACATGGTACTGGTCACACAACCTTGTTATTCATTTAGGTGATGGTCTTCAGACATTTATCTTTGCTCTTTAAAAGGCTAGTGATTATTTTCTTTAGCATCTCTACATATCTAAACTGATAAAATAGCTTTTAAAAATGCATTTTATTTTTAAGTTCTCAGTGTATTTTTTATAACGTGTTTGTTTTCCTATGGGAATTGAGTGCTTTGTACATATGAAACAATAAGACAGGTGAAAGTGAATTGATTAGTCATCCTTGCAGATTTTTGGTATTCAAAAGCTTCTTACTTTATTGACTCTACATCCAGCGATGCCTGAGAGCACCATTGAGTCTCTTTGCAGGCAATCTGGTCCTTCTGTTAGTAATATATCCTGAAAACAAAGAAATAAGATCCTGTAATGAATGGGTTAATTTATAATGGGGTGTGTGTGCTTATTTCAAGAACCACTTTTTTCATGGTGAATGTATTCAGTCATGAAAACCACATTATATAGCAAAAGATTCTTGATCATTGTTGAAAACTTAATCAGAGCCAAGGGAGTTAGTTGTTGTTAAGTATTTTAAGTATTTCTATTATCTCTGCTAATACTATGAATTACTCTTCTCTACTCTTAAGGATATTTCTTTCTAAGAAAATGGGCATGGCTTTCTAGATCCCAAGGCCCGTTCCATCCTAAATCATTTTGGAGATGATGATCAATAGTTATCTTTCAGCTTTCCCTTTTCTAGATTATATAATGACTATTGCCCTTCTGTTTTCACTTGTTAGAGCATACCTTTGTAATATTTTACAGTGCTAAAAGTTTATACTATATTATTATAATATGCTGATGACATTTTTAGTTGGCTCTTTCCAGATTTCTAGGAAGAGGTACCTTACTCTCACTATCATACACTGAATCGCTTCTAAGAAGATTTCTAATAGCTAATTCCCTTCACAATTTGACTGTAGAGTAGTATTTGATTTTATTGTGCCACCTCACCATTTTGACAGACACAGATAATGCTTTTTTTAAAAATAGTTTTATAGGGGCAGCAAGGTGGTACAGCGGATAGAGCAGCGGCCCTGAAGTCCGAAGGACCTGAGTTCAAATCCAGCCTCAGACAAAACACTTGACACGTACTAGCTGTGTGACCCTGGGCAAGTCACTTAACCCCAACTGCCTAAAAAAAAAAAGTTTAAAAAAAAAAATAAAAAAAAAATAAAAAAAATTTTATATATACCTTTTTGATACTTAAAATGGGACTTTTCAATATTTTCCTTATGATTCTTTGATTTGAAATTATTTGAGCGTGGGTGTATATAGTACAAAGTAAAGGGCTCACTCGTAGCTGACATATAGCACTTTAAAATTTACAAAGCCCTTTCCATACATTTTCTCTTTTGAGATTCAACAATATCCCTAAGAGGTCAGTACTACAATTATTAGCTACATTTTACAGATGAGGAAACTAAGGTTCACAGAGAGCTGATTTGTCCTTGATGCCATGGCTCATAAGTACCAGAGTCGAGATTTGAACCCAGGCCTTCATGACTCCAGGTGTGACCTCTACTAAAAGATGAATAATATATAATCCCTGCCCTGAAAAAGCCTATAATCTTATAGAGGTGAGAAGAGAGGGAAGCAAATAAAGTACAAATTAGAATAAGTATAAAGTGCTACAAGATCAGATGAGGGATAGCCAATGTGTTGATTTATTTGATTTGATGGTATTTATTTGTTTCAAGGGAGGGTTTGAGGGATATCTTTGGGAAGTGACAATGATGGTTTTTTAAGTACATCAATAAAACATTTTTGAAAGGGAGAAAAAAAAAACATAACAGAGAAACTTCCAGCTTGGGAAATTAGAAAAGGCTTTATAGAGGTTCTGAATTTGAGCTGCGTCTTGAAAGATGGGATAGAATTCCTTCAATAGGCAGATGTTGGGATAGAGGGAATATTGCCAGTATAAGAAACAACACTGGCAAAGGTGTAGCTGTAAGAAAGTGTAGGATGTTGAGGGACAGTGAATATTCAAGAATATGTGGGATGTTAAGAAACTTGGTATATGAGATGAAGTCATTTGAGAGAAGGCTGGGTTTGTTTAGGCCAGATTGTGGAGGTACTTGGATGCCAAGTCAAGAAGTTCGGATTTTATTTGGTAGTCTGTGGTAAGCCATTAAAAGTATGTTAGCAGCAGCAATTTGATCAGATCTGTACATTAAAATGATTAGTCTGGCACTAGTATATTAAACAGATTGGAGGGTAAGAGAATAGTGGGGGTAAGATCTTATACCACAGTAGTTCAAGTAAAAGATAATGATGATCTGAAGTAGAATAATGATAGCATAGAAAGTTTGCAAGAAAAATTGTGGAGGTAGAAAATTAGCAGAACTTGTCAATTAGTGGAAGAGGAAAAAGGAATAGTCAAAGATGACTAGTGTCCTCAACCTGAGTGACTAGGAGAATGGTGCTGCCATTGGCAAAGAATAGCAACTCAGAAAGAAAAACCACTTTAGCAGTAAAAGAGGATCTCAGTTTGACCTGTCACACTTGAGGCGCAAGTGAAAATTCAACTTGTAAATGAGCAGTAGGCAGCTGGAAATGTAAACTTGAGGCTTGGGAGAGAAGTCAGGGCATGAGATAAAGATTTGGAAACCTTCTGCATAGAGGTGATGATTAACCTATGGGATAATGGGGGAGACAGGGAAGAGAAGAACACCAAGAAATAAGGTTAACATTAATGGGATATAAGGAGGAAGAGACCCATGGAAGGACAAAATCAAGATGGAACAGATGGAGGCTAGAGGAGAATCATGGTGGAGATGTGGTCTTGTAGAATCCAGTGGAAGAGACTGTTAAGAAGATGAGGAAGGTCCTTATTTATTGTTCAGTTGTTTCAGTCTTGTCTGGCTCTTCCTGTGACCTCATTTGGGGTTTTCTTGGCAAAGATACTGGAGTGGTTTGTCATTACCCTCTCCAGCTCATTTTACAGATGAAGAAACTGAGGCAAACAGGGTTAAGTGACTTGCCCAGGGTCACCCAGCAAGTAAGTGTCTGAGGCCAGATTTGAACTCAGGAAGATGTCCTGGCGCTCTGTCTATTGTGCCACCCATCTGCCCAGAGGAAAGGTTAGCAGTGCCAAATTCTGCAGATGTCAAGGAAGATGAGGGCTGAGAAAAGCCCATTGGATTTGACATTCTGGTATTTCATAAAATGGGCATGCTAATACTGTAGTACCTACTTCACCAGATTGATGCACGGTTTAACAATACAACTTTTATAGAGCACTTTGCAAATTTGAATGCATTCTTTGAAAGTTAGTTATTATAGTTATTGTTTGGCAAAATTTGGGGGCTATTTCAATAGGACGGTCAAAGTGGAAGTCAGATTACAAAGATTTGAGTGGATGGTGAAAAAGTAGAAGCAACAAATACAGACTGCTTGTTCAAGCAGTTTGGCAGGGGAAACAAGAGGGACATGGTGACATCAAAGGCATAGTTTTGTTTTGTTTTGTTTTGTTTTGAAAAACACAGAAGGCCTGAGTGTGGATGTGAAAGAGCTTCCTAAAAGTTTTGAGGGATTGTGGTCTCTTTAGAAGATAGCTAGGTAAAAGGAATGGTTGAAGGGGTCAGAGATGTGGGAAAATTATATTTATAACAGAGCAGTGAGTTCAGAGAACGCGGTAAAAGGGGCAAGTAAGTGTGATTTTGATTTGATTTAGAGGTAGGACTGAGAGTTTTAGAGACTATCTGAAGGTAGCAAGGGCCCAGGATAAGAAAGATTGGGGAAATAGACTGGAGGAGCATTCTTAGCCATGGGGGATGGAAAGTGATTAGATGTCAAAGTTTCAATAAGAATTTGATGAAGTGGAATATTGTTGAAGTATTCTCTACCTTGAAAGGAAAATCTAACTTGCTCTGGTTATCATAAATCTCTGTTTATGGTGTATGCAACTTCAGTCAGGGGAGTTGTACAGCCAAGGGTCTCCATAGATGACCTACAGGTTAGGCAAGCCTTGAAGTGAGGAAAGAGAATTGTAGTCATGGGAGAACGAACAGGAAACAGAAATGGTAATCTGCTGATAGAGGAAACCTCAAGACAGGTGCATATCAAAAAGTGGACAAAGATTCCCTGATTCATGAAGACGTAGTCATAACCTCTTAGATTCATCTCCCTACTCAAGTCATGTATCTCATCTCCAGCCAGTAAAAAAGTTGTAAATAAAATGTGCTCATTTATGAACCATGCAAAAATCACATTTCATGCTTTATCAGGGATCCATAATCGTAGCTATGCCCTTTTTTTTCTCACAGGCATTCCAAGGACATCATAAGCAGTACAGCTTCTCACAACAAAAAATTCCTTGCTGTTTCCAATGATTTGTCACAAGAGCTCAGACATTTTAACCATCAAAGTGCTGAGTTGGTTGAAGAGTCTATCCGATGTTGTGAGAAGCTCAGTTGCAGCATTAAAACAGTGTCACAAGAGAGCCAACAATGGTATAATGATATGAATACAAGTGCTGTCCACTTTTCAGATCAGTGGATATCTGGCTTACACAAAAGGAAAGCAGAACTTGATAACTTACTGAAGGTAACATTTTTAACAGGAATCTACTTTGAGGAGAAAATTATTGGTCAGAAAATTGAATATTTTTGTGTAAGAATTTACATTAAAAGTACATTTCTTTCTGAAGTGGTTTAACCATATCCTTTTGAGCTCACTTTTAATGCATAACCATGACAGTAAGTGAGCCTGATTTCATGCTTTGATTAATTGCTCTCTTGTCTGAAGTGATTGAGAAGCCTAGACAGACACCTAGGTTCTACGCCTACCTACCTTTGGATTTTTTTTTTTTTTTTTTTGCTTATTAGCACCTTAAGAGAAAATGATCCCACCCACTGATGTCTAATACATTGGTTGTATGTGCTTTCTTTTACTTGTCCAATATACTTTCAAGTTTTTTGCCTCAATATTGTGCCAAGTGTCTAGTGTCAGGGGTAGGGAACCTGGAGCCTCAAGGCCACATGTAGCTCTCTAAGTTCTCAAATGAGGCCCTTTGACTGAATCCAAACTTTACAGAACAAATCTCATCCCTGGTAGTCTGCTACCATGTACTTGGTGGACACTCAGAAGAGAATTGGTAACTGGCTTGTGGCCTGACTTACCTGCTTGAACATAGCACTTGCTTAAGTCCTTTATGCCTTCTTTTCTCCTTTTGCAAAACAAAGATATTTCTCCAGTATTCCCATAAAGGAGAATCAAAAAAAGTTCACATCATTTCAGCTTGTCAGAAAAAAATGCCATTTTAAAGAACTGGTGACTTAACAGCTGTGTGACCCTGGGGAAGTCACTTCAACCCATTGCCTTGCCCTCCCCCCCCAAAAAACTAATTGTTTTGCAAATTTTCACTTATATCCTCTTTAGGTTGTAAAGGAAGGTTGTATTACATCCAATTCAGAGATCACGGAAAAAGTTAATGGACAGAAGGCAGTGCAAGACAGCCTGCTGACTGCCTTTCGTGATGAGATAACTAATGACAAGGAAAAACTGGTGGAACAGAGTCAAGAACTTAACGATATCATGAAAAGTGGCTGGAATAAACTTAATTGCTTTTTGCATCAGGACCTGAAACTGGATATTCCAACAGGTAGTTTAGGAGGGAAACCAAATTCTATTGTTACAATAGTGTATGAGGTTGAATTAAATTTCTTATTAATTAAATTCCTATCTTGGCTGTCTTCTGAATAACTAACGTTATGCTGGGTGTGGTGAGAACATAATGTATAAGATATCACTAACCTTGAGCAGCTTAGCCCAGCTGGGGAGACAAGAGTGGCAAATGTGTAGGAAAAATAGGGAATGATAGGACTATAGTTAATGTAGTATTAGATTGGGGGAGGGGTGGGGGACATCTGAGAAGCAAAACATCATTATGGATTGGAGTAATTAGTAAAAGCTTCATAGGGTCACCGAATGTCAGAAATGGAAGGGAGTTTGGAAAGCATCCAGGGCCATCCTCTTGTTTCACAGAAGTAGAAGCAGCCTCAGAGAGGTTCAGTGACTCCACGAAGGCCACACAGACCCCAGGTAGCACAGCTAGTGTCCTTTGGCTCCAAATCCAGAGTTCCTTCCACTTTACATAATATATTCTAGGAAGTGTAACTTGAAGTGGATAGGACAAAACTAGATAGGAATCATATGTGCAAAACTGATCAGAGACAAGCCTGAAGAGCAGGCCCGACTGAGATAGAGGAAGGGCTTGTGATAGTGTGACATAAGGTTGACAAGTAGCCAGAAAATCAGAGATCACTGATTTAGGGGAAGGGACCACTGAGCTCATCTGGTCGTGTATGACCCAAATCCTCTGATTCCAGATCCAGCATCTCTAGGACTGTTATATAAGAATTTGAGTTTGGACAATGAGAGCCATTGGAGGTTTTCAGATTCTGTTGGAATGTACTTTTTATTTTATTTTTCTAAAAAGCTGATAGAATTTACTGTTGACTTTCTAAACAAGTGAAAAATAGGTGATAAAGGACAGAAAAACTTTTGAAAATAAAAGATTGGATGAAATTTAAGATGAAAAAATCTTTTTTTTTTAAAGCCAAAAATACCAGAACGTATAAACATTTCAAGTGGTTACCTTTAAAAGGCTAAAAGCTTATTCCATCAGTTTTGCCATTTGCTCAAAATATTTTTTGAAACTCCTCTGGGAATTGCCTTCAGAATTGATGGCATGTTCTTTTGAATATCTTCAGCCGTGACAAATCTTTGTGCATTGAAGATATCTGCAATTCTTGTAAATAATTTAAAGTAATTCAGAGCCAAAGACGAGGAAAAGGTTAGTGGTCAAGTTGAGGTGTGTCAGAATGAATAAAAAACCTTTTATGTATGACCTGTAAATTAGTTCTGACACCAGTGTTAAAAGTGTTCTAAAACTGTTTTGAGCAAAGGCACCATTATTAGAATAAATACCTGGTTTCCCAACCTGACTGCTTTGAAGAAGAATATTCATTTGGGTCTATAAATTCTGGTGTATTTGTTTAAAAATCATTCTCATTACTACATCACAGGGTTGGAAGACTCAAATGGGGTAATGTATGTGAAGCTGTCAGTATCAGCTGTTGAGATAATGGTCACACTGCCACTCTGTAACAAGAGCCAGGAGGGACCTTAGAAAGCATCTCATCCAGTCTCTTACTTTAGATGTGAGGAAATTAGGGCCTTGCACAAGGAATAGCGAATAGCAGAGATGGGACTAGAAGCAAGGTCTCTAGACTTACAGCTCAGTTCTTTGTACTACACAATGGTGCTTTGATTCATTTAATTGTTGGTAATGTCTACTAAAGGTTCAACTCCACAGAGGAAAACATATTCTTATCCATCCACATTGCTGAGAAGTGAACCTCGGGAGCAACTCCTCAATCAGCTAAGAGACAAACAACCCGAGCTACTGACGACAGCAGTTATTCAAGCAGAAGACCCTCCTCAGGTAACGTGAAGTGTCAGAATCTCCATTTCTTGTTGCTCCTTCACCGTGGTCCTTTTAGGGCTGTGTGAGTCTTCCCTTCCTTTCTTCATCCTCAGCTCCTTAGCTTCCTTTCCTACAGTATATTTTGTGTACCTGGCTCTTCAGTTTTCCTATGTGTCCTCAGACATCAGAGTCCCTTGTGTCTGCACTGCACATAAAACTTAAGAGTAATGGGGCAGCGAGGTGCCGCAGCGGACAGAGCACCGGCCCTGGAGTCAGGAGGACCTGCGTTCAAATGCGGCCTCAGACACTTGACTCTTACTAGCTGTGTGACCCTGGACAAGTCACTTCACCCTATTGCCTAGCCAAAAAAAAAAAAGAGTATTAACAGTGTGTGTCTACAGGTGTAGAATGGCTGCTTCACATATGCTTGTTGGATTGAGTCCATCTTTGTCTTTTAGGACTTAGATGAGGAGAAGCCTGTTCTGGAGCTCACTAATGAAAACATCATAAGTGAAGAGCCAGCAGTGGACACAAGCGTCTGTGATCCTATAAATGGCGGTGTTCCTTTTTTCCAGGTAACTGAGAAAATGTTACTGTATCTGATGTACCTAACACAATTGCTATTCAATTTAAAGAATTTTGGGAGGGACCTTAGATATTGAGTCCAATACCTTCATTTTCCAGAAAGGGAAACTGAGATCTAGAGATATGACTGAAGGTCACACAAGTAGGATTGTGGATTAAGAACCATCAGTGACCATTAGTGGTCATCTAAGTCCTGATTTGCGTAAGGTCACCTTTGTGGTAGATGGCAGAGCCAGGCTTTGAACCCACGTCTGCTGACTCCTAACCTCAGTATTCTTCTATTCCATTGCTGGGCATTAGTGAATGGAGGGCTGGCCTTGGAGTAAGGCAGAGCTCAGGGCAAGTCATTTAACCTCAGGCCCCAGCAGCTCTGTAGGCTACCTATGAGATGCACTTCTGCGTTGGTGGAGAGAGCTTCCCCTGGTGAAACCACAGTGCCAAATAATTAAGTAACCTGGATTTTAAAACCCTATCTGGTTTACAAGGATAAAACTTCTTAATAGGTTTCCATTAAAAATGGTTGTTAACTTTTTAAAAAGTATATTTTGGGGACCTGGGATGGAGAAAGGACAGCTACCTTAGCTGGTACATACTGTGCCATACCTTCTACTTCTCAGTTCTGACCTGCTGCCTACCTAATGGTGTATCCCTTCTTCTACCTCCACTAATCAGAATCTCCATCGGACAGCTCTGTGTGAAAAACTAGCATCCCTGACAATGTGAGTCCCTCACCTGCCCTCACCTGCAGTGGCTTGGACCTAGACATCAGTCATTGCTGTTAGTCCCCTTTCCCGATTCCAATGACCTATGTGTTCAAGGAGCCCAGCCTCATCTCCTGGCACTGAGGACATTGGCTCATGGTAAAATTATGAAGGTGAAGACGTATGGGACATTGGAACCTGCATTTTACTCTCTTCCATATACGTGGAACTATATTTATTGATCTTATTATTAGCCAGAAGCAGAAACCTTTTCGAAACCTCATGGATTTGATGAAATTAAGCTGAAAGTCTGATCTAATACAAAGGCTAGAAGTTTTCTGTCTTTGTTTCTGTCTCAGGTAGGTAGCCTTAATCTCCATTCTCTTTTCAGAGAGAAGCAAGTCTAGAAATAGGAGGTAGAAACATGAGTTAGGAGACCTCTAGCCTAATTTAGAAAGGGAACAGAGCATAATGGAGAGTGATAGTGATAGTCGGGGATGCCTGAGTTAGAGTCCCACCTTTGAAACTTGTATTCAATTCAATAAATATTTACTTACTAGTTTTATGACCAAAACAATCACTTGATGTCTCTGAGGCTCAGTTTTCTCATCTGTAGAGTGGACGTAATATCTACTTCAGGGTTGTTGTAAGACCCAAAGGAGATACTGTATGTAAAGTGTTTTATCCTTTACATACGTGGGGGTGGGGCAGAGCAGAGATTGGGAGAGAGATAAGAAATGCCTGCATAAATAAATAATAAAGAGAATGAAAGCTCCCAAAAAAATTTTCGAACAGTCTGAGCTTCATGCTTGGGTGTGGGTTGGAAGGAAATAGGAGAGTGACAGAAACAAAAAACTTTTGGTCATTCTTGTGGCTGAACGTCTTGGCAAAATAACTGACTCAAACCCAGGGGAGAACTAAGTAAGCAGAGGGGTTCACTGGACAGTCCTTTCCATCCCCACCCCCTTCCCCTCCTGTTCCTGCAGGTTTAGAAACTCAATTCAGTGGTTTATTTGGGCTGCCACGAGATGTCTATAGGACCATTGACCAAAGGCCTACATTTGTCTCCTCCACTTCACTCAGTGAGCGACTGTGGGCACAGGACAGGGCTGTGCCTTGGTCACTGCCTTACTTGGAAGCCTCAGCTCACCTCCAAGATGGTAGTCTACAACTTGCTTCAGTAGACATGTTTGAATCCTGCAATAAAGATTTTTTAGCAGCCTCTTAGAGACATATGTGGAACGATGAGGATCCTGACAAAATAAAATTCATTAATAAGAAATTTTTTATAAAAAATGTAAATGTTTATTGTTTTTAAAAATAATTTTATTGACGTTTTCTGTTTCTTATGTTACCATAATATCTCTTGTATCCCTCCACTTCCCCCAGAGACATGCTGTGTAACAAACAGTATTTTTTTAAGAGGGGGGAAAGATCAGCACAATTAATATATACATTAAGAGTCTCTAAAGTGACATTTCATGTTATTATATTTGTTACATTTGTGTTTAATTTTTTTCTTTTCTTGACATCTACAGCGTAAAAAGTCCTCCAGAAAGGATAAAGAAAACAGAATTGTAAACATTGTGGAGAAGTCAAAAGTAGAAGAAAATCTGGAACATACTATTGTTAAGTCTAAACTACCGTTAAAAGCTCAGATAAATAATTAGCTTTTTTTTTTTTTAATCTCTGTTTTGTAACTCCTGACCTTGGTTGTTATTTAGGAATTTGATAAGTATAGACTTGTCTTGAGTTTTTTTATTGTTGTTGATTTAGTCAGTAGGTTTGGTCACTTATCATAATATTGTCAAGGATTTCATTTGGTGCTTATTAACTTGAACTTCAAATTAGTGATTTGGGGTTTGCATTAAATAAAATTGTATTTCCACCTTTTGTTTGAGACAGCCCAACAAATGAAAAAATTAGGGTAGTTATTTTCTTAGAGCCTCTATTATATTTTGTACTTCCTAAACAAATACAAAATTGCATTGTTCTTCTAGGCTTGAACTTATATTGGAAAATATCACCAGCAAATTGTTCCTAGAATTAGGATGCCCCCTGTGGGGGCACTCTTCTTATATTTTCTTATGTGTAAATATTGGCTATCTTACTCTCGCTTTTTCTCCTCCTTCTTCATATTGCAGACTCACTTGGTAGGATAATAAAAAGCATATATACCTCCTGTTGTCTATTTAGATTAATAGATAATACTCCATTTCTAGGTATGAGATACTTGGACACATTTAACACTTTATGTTGAGTGTGTCTGAGGGAAAAAAAGGGAGAAAATTATTCAGTCAGAGGAAATATGGATATCAAAGTATACTCATTGCAGGAGGTGACTGTATTATGAAGCATTTCTTTTATAATTATACATATATTTTATGTACTTCCTAGAAAAAAAAAAAGAGGCATTGTAGTGTAGTGGATAGAGAGTTTGTTTCTGAGCCAGCGAGACCTATGTTTAAGTCTTGTCTCTGCCGTATGCTAGCTGTAGTACCTGGAAAAGTCACTTAATCTCTCAGTGAAACTCTCTAAGGCTGTTAGTTTTAGAGAAGGTGATGGATGTCCCACACTGTTAAAGGGAGTATCCTGTAACAGTGAGCTCATAGTCCTTATCCTTAAGTCCTCACACCTTCTGAATTATTGCCCCACTACCAGAGGCCTTGCTTTATCTCCTTCTGGGAGATAGAGCACAAGATAAGAGGGTGGGAAGGAGAATGGACAGGGCTAGGCAGGAGACGTTGGGGCCAGGGAAAAGAAAGGGACATTTCTCTTTTCCTGTTTTCAAAAGCTGTTCCCTTGTTTCTCCCACAGTTTGGAAGGCTGTAGGATCATATGATATATGACCAATGAAGTCTTAACACTTGTGTATGTATTTTTTTTGTGTGTGTGTATCTGTATAGATAGACAATAATCATACACACATAAATCTGAAGATTCCTGCAGGGAAACTTCCATAAGGAATGAATCTAGTTTATAAATCACAGTTATCTTTGCCCTCCCATGTTTTGCTAACCAGTTTATCAACTGAGTATTAAATGCCACATATTTAAAAAATGGAAGACCTCTGCTGTAGTGAAATGTTTGGTCAAATTAAGACGTAATAAAAAGCATCTGAGAGCTGGCATTTATGCACAGGAAAACTGTGATCAAATATTTGTCCCACAAAAAGAGAAGACTGGCCTAGAATGGAAGCATCTCATCAGAAAACGTGCTTGTTCTCATCCTGACACTAAAACAGTGTCACAAAGACATGTTTTGTTTTTTCACGTCTTCGAGTTGTTGGAGGGTCCCCATTGCTCATGGTGGGTCTGTACGATCTGTCCACATCCAAGTTCCTTTGAATTGTAGCCTTTTGGGAGGCCATGACTGAAGTCAGAAGTGCTAGCTAAAGCTATAATTTTTCTATATTCAATTCAAAAATTTATTAAGTGCCTACTCTGTGCAGAGAATTATGCTAAATACTGGCCAGAATGCACTGTTTTTCAGACATGCCTCTACCCTCATAAGTCTAATTTTGCGGTGATGGTGGTAATGAACCACAAAATAACCATAACACTTATTAAAAGCATTAGAAAGTGGTTTAAAGAAAGGGTAGGAATTGAGCAGGCAATTGGTTGAGGAATGCATTGAAAAATGAAGTGAGGCCAGATTATGAAGGACCTTGAATAATAAATAGGTTTGGGAGTTTGACCTTTATTCAGCACAATATTGAGCAAAGGACTATGGGATATTAACCTATTTGGAGACCAAATCTTCTTCACAAAGTACTGCATTCCAGCCCAAGCATGGATCCAATCCAACATAGATCGAAAGAACCTCAGATTGGAAGATTTTTTTTTTCTGCTGCCTTCGTATGCTGGCAGATGGTGCACTGGTAGATGGAAACAGCATTTTTTGCCAAAGTAACCGAAAGGAGTGATTTATACAACCTGTCAATGTGGCTTTGACATTCATATTTACTGCAGGTGCCTTGTCCTTCTTAGCTAGTTTTATCAGCATTATCTGTGTTCCACACAGAAGATTCAAAACCTGTAAAGGATCACCAGGGCTAAGGATGTGGTCAGATATCTAACATTTACGGTCATCTTGTGGCAGTGTAATTCTGCAGGTGTGAAGACATGGATACTAGCTGACCAGTGGTTTCCCAGGGGGTGGCTATAGAAGATTATTTGTCAAACCAGCTTCTGGCTTATACTTGCCCAGTGCTGTGTGGGCTCTGAAGAGGTACACTAGATGGAGTAGGTTAGTTGGTATAGTTATAAAGCTCACTGAGCAGGTACCCTCTTTTAATCTTGTTCATAACCGTACCACTCCAGACATGGTGTTTGGTATGTGTGGCAAGGATTCATAATTTCACTCTTGCTGATAACCTTTCCACTGACACAGGCTTCAACCCTTCTCCACCTTCGTGGACGGCCTTTATGAGTAGCAGCTGACCATCTGGTGACCAACCTTCCCGGGACAAGCCTCTGTACTTCTTCATCCAGGCCTTGGTCTGTCCAGCTTGATAGGGCCTGCCAGAGTTTGTTTTCCACTGGCATAGTGTGCAAGAACCCATAGTCACCTTCACACCACAGCAAGAAACTGGAGAAGGATTTTATTGAGGTGCAGCAATAAGTGCTTGTCGAATGAATAAGCTTAAAATATGGACGCTGCCCTCAAGGAGCTTATAATCTAGTCACAGGGATAAGATACTTCCACGTGGAAACCTAACTTATAAAATCAAGCTTTTAAGTAAGTGCCAATGAGTGAAAAGGACAGTAAATGTTATAGGAATAGAAAAACTAGTTTGAGAGATTAAGGGAAGGCTTCTTGAATGAGGTAGCATTTGAGCATTAGCACCCAGTGATTGGAAATAGCTCTGGCACATCAACATCATGATCAGAAGTCAGAAATGATTTTTTTTCCTAGCAAAGATACGTAGGCAGTGATATAGAAATAGAATATCAAATAGCGGCACTTCCTTTTTTTAAACCAGCAGGTTTGCAGGTCAGCAGGAGAGCAGAATGTGGAAGGGACATGCCTACAATGAAAAGAAAAACATTTGGCATCAGAAATAAAGGATAAACAACTTCAAACTTGCGGTTTTCTCACATAGCCACTTGATGAGTATCTTTTGTTTTACTTCATTTTGAGAACTTTTCTTTAGATTAGGACTTTACAGCACCAGCAGGCCAGATGGTACCTGCAAACCAGACTTTGAAAAACCTCCTTAGTATACCTACTGCATATATCTAAGTCTTCCAACTTAGAACATTGAGTAATAGCTGCTGGGTGAATGAACCTTGAAGTTTAAGTGGGACAATCAAGCTACAACATAAATGTTATGCACCACTTTATTCTAGGGACTCTTTCTTAAGCATGGGATGGGGCACAAAGATCCACAATGACAATCTTTTTTCCCCTCAAAATCCTACAATTATGACTAATGGCCAATTTATCCTTTATATTCTTTTTCTCAAATTTATAAAATAATTTCTCCTTGTACATTAAAATCTTTTTTACTGAAATCTTCCCTTTTATCTTGTTCTCCTCTATTTTGACCATACTATAATTCAATTTCCTAAGGCCTAATACCTGAAAATTGAGGTGGCTCAGTAGCTGTGCAAGACTGGAAGGAGTAGGTAGTTCAGAATAGGTTCATAGTGCAAAGGTTTAGAAACAGTTGACCACGGTGGCAAAAAAAGCCAAGTCTATTACTTGTAAATATGCACTATTCACATACCTTACAAAGTATGTGCAATGGTAAAGTCAATTTAATTAATCTCATAAGCTCATAGGGAGTCATCTTTATCTTATTTATTTAGATTGCTAATAATAAAGTTTGTTGCTCTGAAATGAAAATCAATTGTCAATATAAGCTAAAGATAAACTCTTAATAGAACTGCCCTTAGCAAGTCTATGATTAATAAGATTAGTTTCAATGTTACCTTATATTCCTTATGATATATCCTTTCTGGACTGAATCTATGTTTTCAGGGTTAAGGAAGCAATTGAATTTTCTAAAATAAACTTCTGTGGCAAATGGAAAAAAATTTGGCACCTTGTAGTATCGCATAGTTATTAGGACACTCCACTCCAAAAAAATTCAATGCATATTTTCTTTCAATTAAGGCACTAATGTGAAATGTGATCTTTTATTTTCTCTGTTTGATGCAGAACATAGTAGTGATTGTTCACTTTTCACAAAACCTGGTTAGGAGAATATATGTGAAAGAACAAATATTCCTGAAGGGAATATTTAGCTAAGATGCTCATTATTCTAAAATAATAATAATAATAATAACTCTCTGCATCAGTTGCAGACCTTCATGACTGAGCAAAGTTTTTCATGGTCAAACTAAAAGTGAACTTCTCTTAAAAATTCTAAATATAAAAATGGGTAATTGAATTCTCTATAAGACAGTGGACAAATGATTTGTACAAATTTTCCTTAACTTCTGAAATGGTTTCTTCTATTAGGTTCAAGGTCTCCCCTCAAATACTTAGTAACTTCGTAGACAAAGCATAAAAATATTTCCAAGAGCAATTTCCTGCCCCGGTTCTCATTTTGTTGCTCTTTTAATATCCTAACCCCAAATTCTTTTCATAGAAACCAGATACTCTACCCTATGCTAGCCAAAAGTATCTTTTCCTCCAACCAATAAGCCCATCTCAAAAAGACACCTCCACATATCCAGGAAAAGTCGACCAGATTCTAACTTATTGAAGCTATTTGAAACTAAATCTTGCAGCACAGCCATAGTTTATATATAAACTGTTTCAGCTGCATTAGTAGGTGATCTATCTCACTTGAGACTTCCCAGTCATAGAAGAAGCTGATTTAACTTGAAATATGGATTATTAAGCATGTTGGTTCAAAGTAAATGTTTTAAGCAGCAAAATCAACCTACTCCTTCGCTTACTTGTTGTCAATCAGAAGGAGTAAAATTATAAACCCAATTACTTAATATGTTGAATAACTCAAAACACTTTAAATTCAAAGGGTTTGGGGAGTGGTAAGGGAACACCTGGAGTTCTTTACCAGTTATGCTATATTTTACCTTCAGATGTGTATTGTTTCAGCAAAAAAAGTGATAAAAATTGAATTTAAGTTTGCAAGGTACTAACCAGTTAGTCATTTTGCGTATATCTGTTTATATTATGCCGGTATATGTTATCATAATTTAGATTGAATAAAATAAGTTCACTGTTTTTAAAATTGTCACTTTGCTTTTTTCCTTTAGCATAAAGCACACACAATCCAACTAGTTGGCTTTTATGTAAAAATAAAACCTTTTTATTGAATTTATATAAATTTTTATATGTAATTTTTAGAAATCTCTAGTTACCACCCTTTTTTCCTAATAAGCTTAAATTATCATATATTATCCATTTAAATATAAACACCTAGGGTGTAACCTAAGTAACTTTTCCTCTTTAATTTTACTGATCTATCAGTGCTTATAATTCCAATTCTCATAGACTCTCTTAGTGATTCCAACAAGATAAGTAATGTCAATACCAGAAAGTACAATTAACATTATCTGGTAATGGTCAACAAATAAGTTATAGATTTTGTCAGAGAAAAAAAGGTATACCTAAAATGTTTGTCCCCCTAAAACCTTGGCTTCTATTACAGCGGTTAATTTTAGGAAATTTTTGTACAATTGTATGTTTGTACACAATCTACACTGCCACTAACAAATAGAAGGTCTGAAGGTTGCTCGACACCCAGGTAAGGGTGCTTATCTCTTAGTCGTTTTGATTTCTGTACGTGTAATGTGACAGATACACTGATGGAGCTATGTTCTTGTAGATCGCCTAGCCTCTCCAACAATGTAATCCACAACCTGGGCCCTGACCATGACTCCCCATCCTGTGGGCCTCTTGGCCCTGTCTACCCACCAGGAGGGAGATCTTCCTCTAGAAGTGGAGGGCTCGAAGTGTTTGGGCCACATAGTTTGGCCGTTAGCTCTTTCTTGCTGTCGCCCTGTAACTGGCTCACCTGTTCCAGTCACACATCTCTGAGGAGAGCCTTTATGCCACTCTCATACCCTTCTTTGTTGGTAATTTACGTTTCTCATGCACGTCCCCATTGCTCGTTGGACAACCCTTAACTTTAATTGTTTGCGATTCTGTAACTTGTGGCTACATTTCCAGTATCACTGGAAAAATAGTGTTCCCTATGAAATGCCACCCCAAATAACAAAAGAGAAATACAAATTAAAACAACTCTGACGTTTCACTTCACACCCAAATTGGCAAAGACAAGAAATAGAAATGAACAATATTGGAAATACTGCTGGAAGATGCTCCCACTTAATACACCATTGATGGACCTGTGAATTAGTCTAACCATTCTGGAAAGCAATTTAGGATAAAACCAGAAAAGTGACTAAAAATCCATGCCCTTTGACCCAATGGAATATCTGCCAGGATTCGGGGGTGAGGAACCTGCAGCCTTGAGGCCACATGTGCCCTTCTAGGTCCTTGGATGAGGCATTTTGACTGAATCCAAGTTTTACAGAACAAATCCTTTTATTAAGGGTATGCTCCCCTCAGTCTCTGTCCTAAATTCTCCTCTATCTACATTTTCTGGTCATGTCATCAGCTCCCATGCGTTCAATTCTCATCTCTATGAAAGTGGCTTCAAAATCTGGATAATCATCTTTCGTCTCTTTCCTGAACACCCACAGCACCAACTGCTTGACATCACCTGGATAGATATCTCAAATTCACTGTCCAAAATGGGACTCTGGATCTTCCTGCCTAAGCTACTTCTCCACTGTGTTCCCCATTTTTATTGATGGCAGCATTATCTTTCCAGTCACTCAAATACATACCTTAAGTGTTATCCTTGATGCTTTACTCTCCCTCAGTGCCATTTCTAATTATTTGCCAAGTCTTGTCAATTATACCTTCACAATCTCCCTCACATCAGTCCCTTTCTTTCAAGACATTCACATGGGGGCAGCTAGGTGGCGCAGTGGATAGAGCACCAGCCCTGAAGTCAGGAGGACCTGAGTTCAAATCTGGCCTCAGACTAAACACTTGACACTTACTAGCTGTGTGACCTTGGGCAAGTCACGTAACCCCAATTGCCTTTAAAAAAAAAAAAAAGGACATTCACATGGCTGCCACCCATAGAACCTCATTACCTCTATCCTGAAATGAAATATTGCAATAATAAACTTCAAATTGGTCTCCCTGTTTGCAGTCTTTCTTGTCTCCAATCCCTCCTCCAAATAGCTGCCAAAATAGTTTTTTGTTTTTTAAAGCACAAATCTGCTCATACTACTTTCTAGTTCAAATGCTTCAGTGGGAACTGCGAATTGGCTCAGCCATTCTGGAAAGCAATTTGGAACTCTGCCCACAGTCACTACCAGGGGTGGGGAACCTGCAGCCTCGAGGCCACATGTGGCCCTCTAGGTCCTCAAGTGCAGCCCTTTGACTGAATTCAGGTTCCTCACCCAACTAAACTATAAGAGATACCATTTATGAGATTTATAACCTCCAAAGACTTTTTTTAAAGGAAAAGGACCAATACATACAAAAGTATTAATAGAGTCTTTTTTTGTTATGGCAGAGAACTGCAAATGAGGGGAATGCCTATCAATTATTGGTAAAAGGCTGAACAAGCTGGGTAGGTGAATATAATGGACAATACTGGGCTATAAGAAATTACAAAAGGAATAGTTTCGGACAAACCTGGGAAGACTTCTATGAACCGATGCAGTGCAAAGTGACCAGAAACTAGAGAATAATTTATACAATAACATTGTGAAGAAAAATAACTAAGAACAAAGTAAAAGCTCTGATCAATGCAATGACAAACCACAATTCCAGAAATATACTGATAAAAAACATGTTACCCCACCTCCTCACACTGAGATTATCATTTCAAAGTGCAGAATGAGACATTTTTTAACACAGCCAAACATTTGTTTTAAGAAAAGGATTTCGTTTTTTTTCTTTTTTCAAAAGGAGAGTAGGGTTGGCCATGAGCATTGGACTATTGATAAGGTTACCACAGTGAAAAAAAGAAAAGTAAGAAGAGAGTCATTGAAGTATCTTTTAAAAGTTACAGCAGAGAATAGGAAGAAAGTCAGTAAGATTAGACAAGGAGGATAATTTTGAAAATAACATGTTGAATTCATTGTACAGTATTCTTAGAGGGAGAAGCAAGCTGCGTGTGGTATAGGACTCAACAACTACGTGAGCAGTCCTCTTTTTTCCAATCAGCTTTATGTATGGAAATGCCATATTTTCAGATATTTTTCAAGTTCAGAATTTTAAAAATTAATTTTTTTAAAACAAGGAATCGCAGGGGAAAAAATTTGATTAAAAAAAATCCACTACCCTGTTTGCACTCTATAATGAAAGGACTAGATAACAGTAATTTTATTTTATTTTATTTTTTTAGTGAGGCAATCGGGGTTAAGTGACTTGCCCAAGGTCACACAGCTAGTACGTGTCAAGTGTTTGGTCTGAGACCGGATTTGAACTCAGGTCCTCCTGACTTTAGAGCCAGTGCTCTATCCACTGCGCCACCTAGCTGCCCCAATAACAGTAATTTTAAGAAGGACATATTGCTATAACACATTTTCTTCAGTAACACCTTTACCATTAACAGAAATTATTTAAGGACTTAACTGGTTTGACTATATGATATATTAGAAAGATGGTAAGATTTGTCACTACCAAATTACTAATTACAAATTTGGCACTACTGCTATCCAATTCTATGTTTAAAACCTTGGGGTTATCTACTTTTATCCCTCACCCTTGGAAATTCTATGGGTTTCCAAGCTATAGCTACTTAAGTCCCCAAAAAGAGAGTTCTCACCACCAAAGCTGTTTGCCCAATCAAATGGCCCGATACCCAAAACAGATGTAGTTTTGTCAAAGAAAATAACACTAAGAAGCATACTACCATGTACTTTGCCACTGCACTTTACAGACCAATGGACCTTTCCATCTGACTTCCAGCTAGCACCTCCTAAATTATGTCCCCTTATGAACACAGAAGGTCCAGGAGATAAGGGACTATCTTGCTATTTGTTTCCCTAGTATTTGGCACAGTGATTTGCACAGAGTCAGCACTTTTTTCATACATCCTTGCATTCATGTAATGATTTGGTCATGCTGCTTCTCTGGACGACAATCCTCAGTGGCTCCCTTAAAGTTTAGATGCCCTCACCTGAGTGTAAGACCGTTCACAGTCTGGCATCACCCTATTGCCTCCAGGATCAAATACAAAATACTTTGTTTGGCATTCAAAGCCCTTCCTAATCTAGCCTTCTCCTAGCTTTCCAGGCTTCTTACACATCACTCCCAGACATATACTCTTTGATCCAGTGACACTGGCCTCCTGGTTGTTCCATGAACAAGACACTCCATCTCTCTACTCTAGTCATTTTCTCTGGCTGTCCCTCATGTCTGGAACTCTCACCTTCCTTTGCTCCAACTACTGACTCTCCTGGTTTCCTTAAGTTCCAGCTAAAATCCTACCTTTTAGGGGAAGCTGGGTGGTGCAATGGATAGAGCACTGTCCCTACAGTCAGGAGCACCTGAGTTCAAATCTGGCCTCAGACCAAACACTTGATACTTACTAGCTGTATGACCCTGGGCAAGTCACTTAACCCCAATTGCCTAAAAAAAAAAAGTCTAACTTCAAATGTCACCTTCTCCATAGAGCCCTCTACCTTCCATTTTGTTGGTATTGACTTCTCCGCACATCCCATTATGGACTTCACATAACCTTTCAGCAACTCTGTATTATATTTATCATGTAATATTGTACACTACAGTTAACTGTATTTGTTTCTTACTCCTCTACTAGACTGCAAGGTCCATGAGGACAGGGACCTTGTCCTAAACAAAACTTTGTACCTACTCTAGTGTCTAGCATGGTAGGTACACACAAATAATGTGTTTATTAATTTTTAAAATTAGGAGGCTGGGGTGACTAGGTGGCGCAGTGAATAGCGCACTGACCCTGGATTCAGGAGGACCTGAGTTCAAATCTGGCTTCAGACACATAACAGTTATTAGCTGTGTGACCCTGGGCAAGTCACTTAACCCACATTGTCCAACCAAAAAAGCAAACACAAACAAAATAAAATAAAATTAGGAGACAGAAGACAGGTACAAGTCCTGGCTATGCCATTTCTTAGTTTTTGACCTTAAATGAATACTTTAATCTTTCTGAG